TTTATAGACTACAGTTTATAGACTACAGTTTATAGACTACAGTGTATGGACTACAGTTTATAGACTACAGTGTATAGACTACAGTGTATGTTATATCTATATAATAAAGCTCTTTGTTCAAATATATTTATATTAGTATATTTATATGTCAACTAAAGCAAACGGCCAAACCAAATTGGCTGAAATTTTTTGAGGGAACCCATGCTTGTTCCAGGGAAACATAGGCTAAAAATAATTTCAAATTATTTTAATCCAAAAATCAATATTTTTTTGTTCGAAATACGGCTTTTAAATTTCCACGGGCAACGCCGGGTAGTTCAGCTAGTATTGTTTAAATTATGAGTTGGTATTGATAAGATTTAATTATACAGAAAGAAGACGAACTATGTCACTGTTTTAGATTTAAGTGTTGATAAATAGGCTATTGAGAAAAACTAGAGACAAAAAGTGAAATATTTTAATGAAATTAAACAAGGTACTGTTTTGTCATTAATGCAATTGTTTTCTTTGTGTTGTGTACTTAAAATGTATTTTTGCAGTGAGAACCAGAAAACTGTGGAATAGGAAGACGACATCATAGCAGTACATACGTGTATTTGATGTTGATACAAAGCAAATAGTTTTACTAGTAACTTATTAATTTAAATGGGTACTCACTTATATAAAATAAAGGTATTGCAATTTTTAAGTAGCCGTTAGATGAAGAGATTGGAAAACTGGTTTCCAAATCAATAATGATGAAATATGTAAACACCCTTTTACAGAGTTTTCACAAATATTTAATTTTTTAACTAAATTTTGTCCATTTTGGATTCAGACTTTTAAAAATCTGAATAAACTTTCAACTTACACCGTTAAAATTGAAAACACACAAGAAAATGCATATTTAGAAAAAAAGATTTATTATTCAGATTAAAAAACAATGTTTTTAGCTGCTGTTCGAGATTTTTTATATCTTCCCTAATCGTAGATTGCAGAGAGTACAGGGTCTAGTAGAGACAAGGTTTTGATGATTTCCTGATTTAGCATCTTAACTTTCCCATCCAACTGCCTAAACATTAAGTATTGCCAAAAAGTTCTCAATTTGAATATCTATGATGTCAAGAAGTTGCCTAGCTAAAAAAAGGCTACTTTTCCTTTGCTATGAGGCTACCCAAGGGCTAACCTGGCGTGCCCTTTCTCCGTAATATATTGCACAAGTTACCTAGCTTAAACAAGGACTATATTTCCTGTCCTCTCTTAGGGATCTTTGGCATTACCGTGTTACATGCATGTAGTCTATGATGTTAGCAAGTTACTGAACTCAGACCAGGACTACTTGTCCTGTCCTGTCTTTGTTTTCTATGGTATTCGTCAAAGTTTACTATGATGATAACCTACTACCTAAGGACTGGGTGTAACTACTGGTATCTCTGCAGGTTTATACATACAATTATAATCTATATGAACATTGAGTCAACGAACTGTTATCATAAATTCATTCTAGCCTATACTATATAATATTATACTATCTACGATACTATATACAGATTTAAGTGTTTACGTATATATTCATACCTATTTACCTATCTACCTGGTATCTATCCCTCTATCTAGCCTAATGTCTATCTATCTAACTTAATATCTATCTTTCTAGCCTAACATATATCTATCTAGTCTAATATCTATCTTTATATATCTAACTTTCTATCTATTTATCTATCTATCTATCTATCTATCTTTATATATCTATCTCTATCTATTTATCTATCTATCTATCTATCTATCTATCTATCTATCTATCTATCTATCTATCTATCTATCTATCTTTCTATCTATCTATCTATCTATCTTTCTATCTATCTATCTATCTATCTATCTATCTATCTATCTATCTATCTATCTATCTATCGTGTATATATCTAATAGACTGTGCCTATCTATTAAGCATATCTGGGTGAACAGGCAGTAATTATTTCACACGTTGCATCAAGGTCATCTTCTTCAAGTGTTTAAACCAAACCCAATCATTCATAAACTCTGTCTAAACTGTCCAGTTAATTAAAGGAAGCGAGTATTTGTAACAATTTTATTTTTATGGTTTTGATATTATTGCTTTAAAATTATAGAGATAGCATTTTATAAAAAATATATGTTTCAAAATTTTGTGAAATGTTGAGTTTACGTTGAGTAATAAGTCCAGGTTTTTTAATCGAAAAGAGCTGGTGATCGTTGAAGGAAGTTGACTGAATGTATCTCTTTTCAAGATAGAAAAACAATAATATCTTCCTCATTGTTAATCAAATAAATGCTGTAAATCGTTGTGAATTGGACATTGAACTCTTTAAATGGTGGTTCAGTCAGTGGACCATTCTTTCCGTATCTTTTTGGTAATCCCTGTAAGTTGTGAGTATATTGTCCAGATAATCCCTGCAAGTTGTGAGTATATAGTCCAGATAATCCCAGTAAGTTGTGAGTATATTGTCCAGATAATCCCTGGAATTTGTGAGTATATTGTCCAGATAATCCCTGGAAGTTGTGAGTATATTGTCCAGATAATTTGCGTAGTATGCAATGTTTTGACAGCTCCCCCCCCCTGGCCCCTCAGGATTGTCCAGCCCTGGATTTATGGAATTTAAATGTAAATCTGAAATATCTGATGCTGTACAATCAAATCATTTCGACCCATCTTCAGGATTCCAATGTGAGAAGATCAAAGGTTTTTGTATTTAACTGTAGCGTATAAAAACCACTCTCAGAAACTGGTATAATTGTAAATATACAAAAAGTTATATTCATCAGTAATTTCACAAGACCGGCTTTGAAAAATTTCGACATTTGTTTACAATCTTTGTTATTGGTTTTCTATCATTTCTAAGCACGGACTAGATCGGTGACAAATACAGCTAAATCGGCTTTTACAGGCGGGGCTAAGGAGGCCTCTACTCGTCACGGTGGACTAAGCCAGTGGGGTCGGTAAAATAGGCCTAGGATTAGGCCGGGTACTGTAAAAAGTCTGAACGCGCCATGGGAGTTGTCATAGTTAGCCCTCGCACGGGACTATGCCAAGAAAATTGAACCCTGTCGTATGTTAGTCTGGTAAGGGCGACGTACTGTACCATAGGATCGGGTCAGTACACGCTGTTATCTGGCAGGCAGGTACAAACTGGGCAGGTCCTGTTCGAATTCAAATTTACTACGGGGATAGAGTGTCGTACAGGCAGGACATGATGTGTTTCTACAACATGGTTTATGACTGCCATCTAACTGCCACTTGTTGCATAAAATACCCATTCAGGGGATAAATTTTATAAATTTGGAAAAAATACTTTTACATTTAACATAAATTGTAAAACATAAAATTTTTGAATTTAATTTTTTGGAAGGTTTTGTATTTCGTATCTAAAGGATTCTTAAATATCCCTGCAGATGTCTTTTGGACATGGACATATACTCTAGTTGTACACAATGGAACGCGCTGTAGAAAATCGCATATTCCAGCCTTTTATAGATATCTGTGCTCTTTTATCTCTGGTGCTAATATCTCACAGTAAAATAAGTACAGAGACCGTATCCTCCTCCTTAGTTCTATATATACTGGGAATATTTCATGGATCTGTGCGACCAGCTTGTGTCGAGTTTTGTGTATAAATGAAATGAATATTTGGCAACAGCAACTTTTAAGAAAATCAAGTTTTTCAAGATTTTTTCATCTTTTTAGTTTTTACCTTTTGGAAACCAACTTCTGTCCAAACGAAATACTTCTTCTCTTGATTTTTCTATGATAAATAAACAACCCTCAAATATAACTTTACTATTTTTTAGAGAGACCTCCTTCCAAAAAAAGGTACGAAACAAAAGCTTTATAAAAGTGGTTAATTAAAGAAAAATGTCATTAAATCCGACCATAAAAAATGGAGTATTTTTCAGTTTTTTAAATATATAAAAAGTTGCTTCACCCTACTGAGCATTGGAAACCTATCCTGGGTTTTATGCTGAGTAATTCATTATTCAATGTTTATGAGAGAACATCAATCATGAATTCATGTGTTGTACATTGATGTTTAAATAAACATGTATTGTATTATTATGCATTGTACAATATGTTTACATATTCTTGTTATGTACATTGTACATTGTTTATATTCATGTTAAATTATTTACATTCTGATTGTCAAAGCATTGCAGAAAACCAATGTTAGGCAACATATTAAAATTTTTGTTTAAAAAAACTATTCTTAATTTATTAGTTGTTGTAATTAAATTGATTTAAGGTCGTAAAAATGAATTTAACATGCTGCATTTTGCTTTTAAAATTAAAATTAACTTTGCATGCAGCCTCCGAATAATTGTAATTTGTTTTTTTTAATTTTGACCTTTAACTATTTTCTAAATGTGATATATTTATTAAGATAATAAATTTGAATGCCTGCAAAATGTTTGTATTATGACTTGAGAAAACAACTTTTGAAAAGATATTTTAGATTTAAAAAAATAAACAATGGAGAAAGATCGAAAGTAAATTAAAAACATTTATAGGCATATGTTCAAGAAAACAAGTCACGTTAAATGAAGTGATTACTTATTAAGGTTAAATGACAATAACCTGCAAAATATCTGGATTAAGACTAGAAAACAAGACATCAAGTCATCCCTTGAATTACGTTTAATGAAGGGAATATTTAGATTTAGTAGTTTTAACTGCAAAATATCTGTATAATTTAGACTGGATGGTGGAGAATGTCTTATTTGATAATTTTATCAAGTCAAAAAAATACTCAAAATTCAATGGATAAAAGATCAAAAATTATTTCAATAAATTAACATCAAAGGTATATCTTAAGAGATAAAAAAAATTACGTTAACCTTAAATACCAGATCATGCATTATTTGTTTAGGTCTAATAATTAAAACTTTTTTCTAGCAAAATATCTATATTAAGACTGGAAAAAACGACTTTTCTGATATCAGATTCAGAGTCGAAGAAGAAATTTGGTGTGAAAAACCGTGGAATAAAGATCGAAAGTAATTTCCATATATTAACCTTAAATGTTTATTTTAAGAACAAAAAATCACGTTAACTTTTAAAATAAAGGCATCATTCACTTAGGTTCAACCACTGGTCTAAAATGTAGATTCATGTCTCGCTTCTGTTCTGGGTTCAGATATTCAACCTGTTCATTCAGAGATTTATCTCTAACTTTTCCATTAATTAGTATATTATCTCCATCCTTTCTTGGTTGGTTCCATTGCTCCCTTTCCCAAGGTCTGCGAGCCAACATCAGCTTATACAGGACTATAGTTTTGTAGAGGGATATAAATGAGAAGAAAATAAAGCAAAAACCTAAAAAAAAAATTATAATTTTACGAGGGTATAAAACAAGATTTTTAAAATGTTTATGTTAGGAATAAAAGCAAAACTTCTGGTTAATATTTCACACGTAAAAGAGCCCTTGTTTTAGCAGCACATATCACGCATTAGATGTAAATCTAAGGTTAGTGTAAACTTGAAAGGTTTGATAAAAACTTATCACACTCTTTGTTGCAGTTTGTTTTGTAAAGCATTAAGTTAAATTCAGAAACGGCCAACATTAAAATGGAGCCTAAACGTCAGACTAAATCTTTGAACTAAAAAAACCATTAATCTAAATACCTCCGATCCAACAGGACAGTTGAAGAAGTTCTAGGGTTAAAGCGGTTGTCACTTCATCTGCAACGGCAACTCCAGGGTATTTGTTTGTCAGTGACATGAACGAGAAGTATCCAGTGTTTCCATAGTTTCCACAAAGTATCAGAAGAACACCGCACACAATTAGAACAATGAAAAAGAAGATGTTCATGATAAAGAGGTTTCGATGGAGAGGAAAGAAGCTTCCTGCGTCAGAAAAGGTGTGAGCTTTCTTATATTTGAGATCATCTTGTCCAGGATCCACAATCACTTTAGTATCAGCTTTAGATGTCATCGTAACTTTTCTGTGAATTTGAAATGATTGCGAATTTTTCCGAAATTATTCGCGGTTTTCCTGTTTTTTTTTGGTAGAAAATCAATTCTGCAGATTAACTTTATTAGTAAAGAATCACAGAAATCACAAAAACTTCAACACATTATAGAACTAATTACTATCCCATCTATAATGTTAAATTCAAAACCAATTATCTACAGTAAGAATTGTTTAGTTTTCGATAAAAAAAAGAGTAAAAGCAGTGACTTGGTTTCGTTTTTTAAAAACTTAAACTTTTTTCAGATTTTTGTTAGTCACACGAGGTCGACATTCTGGTTCGTTTTAAAACACACACTACCCCTCGAATACCCCCCCCCTGAACCCGTCATATTCATTCTATACCCCTCGAATACCCTGGAAGAAACTTTGATTGAATGTACACTTTAGAAAAAGAAATGTTTTGAAAACTTTGCAAAGAATTGGAAATGGTTTCGGAATAAAATATTTGAAATCTGACAGTTACAGAGGGAGAAAAAGACATGAACAGAGGGGGGCGGGGGTACAATGCGGATCTAGAATTTGAGAAGGGAAGGGGAGAGAAGGGATGGAAAGGGAGAAAAGGGATGGAAAGGGATTCTACTTAAATCGATTAAAGGAAAAGAGGATCGAGAGGATTTATATTTTTATATGAAAAGATATATAATTATCCAAACGATTTATTAGGGAAATCTTTAAATTTATCATTCAGGAGGGGGGGGTTTCTNGGGGGGGGGGGGCGTTTAACAAAAACATTCTATACATATTTAGATATTCAAAAATACTGTCGCATCAAAACTTAAAGAACACTGAGAAAACAACGGGATTCGTTGTTTTGTGTTAAAATAAAGCAAACTTTTAAGAAGTGTCGCAACAATGTTTTTGTTCTTCTGCTCTGTTGATTTTGATGCAGCAGTGTTTTTGGTGAAAACTTTTAAAGCTTTCATTTTCTTAAAAAACAAAGAAATATTCTTTGATGTTTTTAATATTTCACTTTTATGATATAATTTTGTAGAATTGAATTATTGAAAATCTGCTCTACTTGATGGATTAAAATTGGGAAACTAGAAAATCTAATCATTACAAAATGTAAACTACTATTACAGTTTATATGAAATTAAAATCTACATAATAAAGCTAAAATGGCCGTGGAATGAAACAAAAATGTTTAAGGAAAAAATTGAATTTTGAAAAAAAATATCTCAAGGATTCCCTAAAAAAAATCAGCCAATTCGGTTCAGCCGTTTGACCAGCCTTAGCTCTAACATATAAATATATAAATATGTATATCTCTGAGCGAATAGCTTTATTATATAGATATATATCATACATGTATATATATGTTAGCTATAGCTCTGGCATCAGGGGCGGATACAGGGGGGGGGGGGTGGCAGGACCTTTGAACCCCCTTGAGATTTCAGAATAGCTTCTCTATATCACTTAAGGGAAAGAAAACCTATGACAAAACAGTAAAAAAAATCTCTTAAAAAAAATCGCTTCCTAAATTTTCACAAATCTGGATTTCTTTGTTCCGAAATAAATCTTGCACCCCCCTCACTTAAATCCTGTATACGCCCCAGGCTGGCATAACGGCTGGACCAATTTGTCAGATTTTTAGTTAGGAAACCTATGCTATTTGGGCCCGATCGATTCAGCCGTTTTGACGTTTATTGGACACTTACGGGACAAACAGACAAGAAAAGTACATATATTTACTAAACAATTTTTAAATAAAGGTTTAAAAACTAGTGGCTTGAAAAAATAAAAATTAACTAAAAGGACATTCAGTCAGAGATAAAATAGAGAGTAGAATGACAATTATTTGGCCGTAGGTTCTTATTTTTCGCGAATACTTACTTAAAGGGATTGAGCAAAAAAAATACAGTTTTAACTGGTAGCGTTTTATGGGTGTAGCGTTTTATCTAAGTAGCGTTTATCTAAGCAGCGTTTTGTAGTGTAGAGCAAAAGAATCCAACTTTTCTTTTGTCGAGGTTTCGTGATTATCTAAAAATAGTAAATTGCAACACTGAACTATTATTTTCAGAAATTTCGTGGATAAAATTATCTATGAATAAAAAAATGTTTATCAACTTTTTTCTAAAAATAAACTACAATCATTAAACTTTTCTTTTATTTCTCAAATCGAACAGATATAACGAAAAAAACCAATTTTTGATTGAGTTATTGAGTACTATGTACTAATTGACTTATTTTTTTCTCAAGCTGCTGTATTGGTGGCCTCCCACTTTTCAGCTAAATGACATTTTATCTTTATAAAACGAATACGATCCATCCATAAAAATGCATGCTTTCCTTAATTTAATTGATTTCTCAAAAATCATGGTCTAGATTGTAAAAAATAAAAATTGCAAATGTACAATCATTTCACCAAAAGAAGATGATCAAATAACATTAAAAAACAAACATTAACAATAAACCATCTATTTTCTTTTAAAACTCTTAAAAAACTGTAATAAACAATAGTTGAATTCGTATAGATTATTTGGTTGAATATATGTCCTTGTTGTTGCACTAGAACTAGGTGATATCGGCAGGTTAACGATCCAAGAATATTCAAACTATTTAACCCAGGGGAGAAAGGAACTAGGGAGGGAATGTGAATATGACCCGGGGGGTGGTGGGGGGTGACGTACTGCATGGGTAAGAAGTTGAAGTTTAGGATTAGCAAAATTCCGGAAATATAAAATTAAGTCTAGTTCCTGAGTAAAGGGTTGTGAAGGGAAAGAAAGCTTGACGCCACCACTTTACTCCTTCCTGCCCCCCTTCCTTAACTTGCCCACCTGATTGAGTATAAACTTAAGTGGATTTATTTACAAAATAACATAAGACGTGCTAATTTCTTGTATTTTTTAATTTGCTTACTTTTATAATAAACACTAATAAACTATTTTACTTTTGTTTACAAGATATCTTTTGGTTTATATGAAAAAAATCGTATTTCTGAATAACAAAAATTTAAACATAACGTTGAAACATTTTCATTATTTGATATTATTTTCAAAATTATTATTTTAATTTTAGAATATTTCTTAAGAAATTTCTAGACCCCCCTTCTCAAACGATTTGTATGCATAGCTGACAATTTGACATGTTGCGGAAATGACTCAGTGACACTAATTATTACAATAATAATGATAATAATGACCCCTAAGTTATTATTATTAAATGTTTCCCCTGATTGAAATATATATAATTAACCTAAATCAGCACAAGTGATTTCTACAATCAGTTTTCAATATTCAGGAATAAATGCACTAAATAGACACGCAAAATGCAAATGCATTATCTATTTCACAGAATGCATTTAAATGGTTGAAAAGATTTAAAATTGGCTAAATGTTCATATTTGAATATATTTCGAGCAATTTTCTAAGAAAAATACTTATTTTTGAATTTATGATTATATTTTAATATGTAACTTTAAGAAAATAACAGATTTAAACTTTTTTTGAAATAATCAAGCTTATTGCTTTGTTCCTAAAATAAATAAGAGTTAAATCTGACATACAGAAAAAACAGGCGGTATCACATATCAATAAAGATGATTTTCTAAAATTACGTTTGATGTAAAAAAATATCAGAGTTATGAAAAATCACTCATTGTGCACAAAATTATAAATATCTTAAATCTTAAAAAAGAAAAAAATGCAGATTTTGATTTTCGCAACAAATTAGCAATCGCATACTTAATAATCTGCACCGTGCAAGTTGCATTGAGAATATTTTGCACAAAAAATTTCAAGTGCAATAAACGCACATCAATAATTTTTTCTTTAGTTTTGTTCAGTGAAACGATAATTTTTAGATATTCTTTAATTGGCTGGATGATGTTCACATCAAATATGACTATACTTAAATAATTATACAATTGCGATTTAATTGCAGTGACTTTGCGAGTAAAATATGCTTGCATACTTTATCACCTCTCTACCCGTCTGTATAGACCCCATCCTATGATTATGATGCATAATTAACCTAATTACCAGATTTATTACAGCACAGCCAGCCTGTAATTATCCTCATTACCCATCCATATTCCCTTAAAGGGACTGTTAAGGTAAAATGAAAGGGGATATAGACCGAAACCTAGATATTTTAGGCGTTGATTGCGACCAGTAATAGTTCTATCTGATGTCCCTGTCTCGAGTAATTTTCAGATATTTGCTATATCTGAACTGTTTAACCCACTAGCGGCTGAAGAATTTTTTTTTATATTTTTCTTTGAAAATTTGATTAAGAATACTTATTATTGGTTAGATCAAGGAAAAAAAGTAAAAAATGCAAAAAAAAAATTTTAAAGGTGTTTTTTTAGGGATTTTAAGAGTGGCCTTATAAGTCACCACAGTTGCTGCAGGGCGGGTTTACAGAATTTTTCCTAAATTTATGAGAAAGGCAAAATTAATTAACTAAAATGTTATATAAATGGCCATAGGAACTATTATTTACCCAACAATACTTTTACTCTTTATTTTCAAATATTACTAAAAAACAATAATGCAAAAAAAATAGTTTATTTAATAAAAACATATTATTCACACCATCCTTTTACGTGAAACCCGAAGAAGTGGTCAAAGCAAATGGCTCTATCACACTTATCATATTAAGTTTGACACTTTGTTGAACCTTCTAATGCGCATCTAGATCTGTGATTCTTTCTTACAATGAGAAGGTGCTATCAGCATAGCAAATTTCATGATCTCCAATTAGCCTAATAATAAATTGAAAAACTTTTTAAAAACATTTTAAAATAGTTTTCTACTAAATAAATTTACCATACCTAAAGGCTGCTGTTTTTTTGTTTTCCATAAATTTAGTTTAATTGTTCACACCTCAACTTTACACGGTTAAATAATTTGGAAGATGAGTAGGTAGAACCGTTTAACTGTACACATGTGTGTCCCATATTGTTTACTGTATCATAAAATGACTCCCGCGGAGATAAACTCAAAATTGAGGAAAATAGATGAGTTTTATGTAAAACAATTTATAGGGGACGTATAAGTCACCGCAGCCGCTAGTGGGTTAAATGATCGATTCAAATACAATATCACATATATATATATATATAGAGTGTTCGTATATACTTGGTTTTATTTACATAATTTCTCTAGACAGGGATATCAGATAATACTGGCTATAGCGATCAACACCTAAAATTTCTAGGCTTTAGCCTACACCCCCCTTTTCATTTGACCTTACTTAACATGTGTTCCTTTTAACATGGTTTCAGAAAATATAAATACGACTACGTTGGATACATAAAACAGAAGAATAGAAAGACAACATTTCAGTGTATTAAATTATGTTATACTAGGCTTCCATGGCGCTTCGATTTTAACTTTTAATTGATGCTTTAATTGTGACATTTACACTTCTTAAAGTATCAAACTCTAAGTTGTTGGTCTTTTTTTTGTGGATTTTGAAAAATATAAATTTTATTTTTAAACCCATCAACCTTTCCTGGGCCGGATCATGTGAGGTCCCAAAAGTTTGTTTGGCCGGATCGGTTCAGCCGTTTCGACGTTTATTGGATACACACAAACAGACAGACAGACAAAAAAGTATAAATATAGAGGAAGATGGCAAATAATTTTACTAGCCCTTTGAATATCTCCTTTACATGTGAAATGGATCTCCGTACAATGCAAAATTTCTCCGTTAAAGAGTAATAAACCTAATAATAAATTTAATAACGATGGCTTACTTTACACTCAAGTTTCATCCCTCGTGGGTTAGTTCTGCAGCATATATTTCAGATTGTACATTTTCTAGCGAATTTTATTTCCTATTTCGTGATTTTTAAAAAGGATCACAATAGAGCTCGCTTTCTTGAAATTAAATGTTTTGTCGGCTTGGAGCGCGGTGGTCGTTTTAAGCCGGGTCTATCTGGCCGGGGGGGGGGGGGGGCATTGCTAATTAGACCCCTGTAATTAGTGCAGATAACTTGTGAACTTGATTTTGTTGTTTAAAATTCCAGATAAACGTAAAGGAAACCTTTAATTACTCTAAAGGATCCAGATTTATGGGAATACGATTTATTTTACTAAGATCAGAATTTATAAAAAGAATAACATAAAACAAAACTATTGAGGTAAAATCAAGGGCGTTGCGACAGTTCAAAGTCGACCCAGTCTTGAAAATTGAGGCAACTTTTTATAGCAGTCTGGATCTAAGTGAAAGCGAGTGATGTGGGAGGGATATGTATGTTCACCTATGGCTAATTATAAGATATGACTATAGCGTTAACATAGAATAGGTGGCTCATATCCCTTAGATTTCCCATTTTCCACAGGAGGTCGTCTTCCCCTTGTTGTTGAACGATGTCCTTGGGCAACGTCGGGTACTTCTGATGGTTATACACAAATGCAACATTTGTTTGTCAATTGTTTGTTACTATCACCAGGTGGTTTGTTTGTCTACGTCTGACTGTCAATCAAACTACAGTGTGAACAAATGAGTCCTAGTATTATTTAATCAACGAAGCGAAACAAATTCTAAATATTTCGGGTTGAATAACAAAACATTTCTGAATATTCATAGACGAAATATTCTTATGACGGAGCAGTTTAGATGTTCCCTTTATTGAGGGTTAGTACAGATAACAAACCAGTTATTCCTTCATTAAGTAGAATAGTCTACAGTTGTACATTATACAATTTTCATGTCTTCCAGAGCTGAACAAGTCCCCATGAAGCAGTCAGTATAACCTGTAGATTTTTACAGGTCTTGCTACGTCAGTACACCTTTTTTAAGCGGTTCTCAGTGCAAGTCACCTTAAAGAGCAATACATGTTTCCTTCTTCTGAAATAGCATACGCCTATCTAAATCAAAGTCTTTTCTGCTACTCCTTATTGTTAGGATTGGCATTTTTTCTATCTGCGCCTTCTGCGCGTATTTTGTCTATGTTTACACAGAACAGAAATTACATTATATGCGTGCCAACTGATGATATTTAACAGCATGGCAAGCTAAATCCACATGTTAGAGGTTCAGTTAATTATAATCAAAATGAAAATCATATTTTTGATCCAGACGGAAATAAAAACTTTTGTTGTTCTAGTCCTTTACTAAATCTTAAAAAAATGTTGACGTCAAGTTTTGCTCCATATATGGTTGATAGGTTTAAGTTAACTAAATGCAGGGGTGCATATTCTTACTTTTTAACAAACAAGGAAGAGAAATAAAAAAGTAAAAAAGACTCAAAGGGAAATAATTAAAAAATGTGTCAATGGTACAAAGAAAACCAGAAAGAAGGAAGAATAATCAATCAAGTTTCTTAAAAATCATGAAAAGAGGGAAATTAAATTTAGATTGAATTCTCTTCCCCACAAGTTTTCTCGAAAGACAGAATGGGGAAGATGACTTAGCTGGACTATTCTTCCTCACAATTAATATAGAAAATGAAAAAAGTAAAATAAAAGATTATTGAGATGAATTATCTTCCCCAAAAGTTCCAAAAAAACTGAAAGGAGAATTAAATCTATAACTAGCTTCAAGACCTGCATATTCTTCAAACGAATTATTTTCCTGTACAGAAGAATTGAATTAGTTTGTTACTTCAAACGATAGTTTTATTAGGTTCATTACTTAGTCTGTGAGCAATATCCGCTATACTGAACGTCTGAACTACTAACTTTCCAACCTACAAAAATATCTGACCTACACCAGATGTTTATTTTTAAGACAAATTCTGGGCCGAGCTGCAGCCACAAGTCCATCTAGCAGCTGCAAAACCACGTGCTAGTAGGTCGGATGTGTAGTATTGCGGATTTGGCGTGGGTCAGAAGTGGAGTATAGCGGATTTACGAAGGTCGAAGATACACCATCTACATGATATGTGTAATGTAACACAAACTGCTAATCTACGTAGGCCTAAGTTGACCCAGCACAAGATGCTACTTTTTAAAATTAAGAGTGCCGTCTCACGGCCACTTGTTGAATTTCATATCCATTCACGGGTTAACTTACAACTTTTGAAGAAATACTCCAATTTCAAACATGAAACATAACATTTATGAATTCCGTCTAATTTTGAAGATTTTGTGTTTCGTTTCCAAAGGATCCCTAAATATCCCCGAATACAGATGTTTGCTGATTGGTCGTGTACAGTACTTGTATACAAAAGAACATGCTGTGGAAAATATTGCATATTTAAGCTGATAATCGATCTCTGTTACTCTTCTCTCTGAATGCAGCCCTCTTAAAATGTTATGAATTCAGTATCTTTACTTGGTATCTAACTACTCTTCTAATTTTTCGTCAGATTTAGAACATGAACATGAACATGAACATGAACATGAACATCTGAAACCGTGATCTCGGTGTAAAGAAAAGAAATAATTTCAGATATCTGGATTTAGTATGATGAATAAGTGTCGAAATTAAAATTCTCCAAATACCTCAAATCAAGACGACATTTAAATATCTGTTTGACCTAACTAATTTATAAACATCATAAACACACTACACACTAAACAGCAATACAAAATAATAACAATAAAAATTAAAAAGTTATCTAGCAAGTAAATATATATTTTAACAAAACATTATAAAGTAACTAAGAATAAGTATATTTATGGTTCAGGGTATGATATGGCAGTAGAGTTCGTATTTTTAAATAATGTCAGCAGGTAACCTAACAAATCAAATCAACCCAGTCTAGTAATAATAAATGTAAAATATCACAAAACAACAGGTTTAATTAATGTCATACGATATAAAAGGATGTTATAACTGCAATGCTAAAAAAATGTATAATTCAATCAGGGTACAAATAAAATAAACAAAATAGATATAAAATAAAGATTGAAATATCTCTCAATGTAAGAAAGGAGTATTTAATGTAAGATACGATCAGGGGTACTTAATGAACTAGGATTCGGATTAAGTTCATATTTTTCAATACAGGGTGTTTGAGCAAGTATGATGTTTTAGTTCATAAACTTTTTACATTTTCTAGCTCCGCAATAGCATTTAATCTTGACATCTTCGATAGGAAACTTGTAGTCGTAGGTCAACTCCTCCCCAGGCAATATTTTTCTAAAAACAATATAAAATCAAAAATATTTATTGATGAAGATCAAAAGTGAGTATTAAAATAACTCTGAAATATAACAGTTGGATACACAGTACACACCTACAGCAGAACAAGAGTCAAGCATGTCTTTCACATAAAAACCCACAATAAGTTGTACTTAACTCTTTATGATAGGTTTGTATCCTTTCTTAAGATAAATAAAAAAATAACATTTTTAACCCTATTCCCGCTGGTATCCTGGTTTTCAAGTACCCCAGCGGGGAAAGGGTTAAAGCATGAATGGAACCAATTCCACAGAAAACTAATTTGAAAATATAAATAAAATTTTTATCGAGATATAATGATTATAAATAGCTAAATACCGTAATGAGAAAATGATGATATGTTTCTTCCCTAGAATATCACAGATTTTACTGTAACAGTTAGGTTCACAAGCATGATTTATAAACCTGAAAAAAAATCCTGATTTAAAAATTTAGCAAGTTTTTAATTTAGAGCAATGATGCAACGTACTTGCATCGTCTAATTCTTCAGGCCCCCTCCCCAACTAACCTTTTTTGGTCGGTAAAATCTAGGTTTAGGTACCGTGACTTCCCATTTCCTATTTTTAAGGTTAAGATACGTGAATAATCACGGGAGGTTGCACTAATTAGGAAAAGGGAGTCACGACGCCTAGAGTTAGATTTCACCGAGCAATCCCAAAAAAATTTGGGGGGGAAATGTAACAAACCAAAGAATATTGATTCTAATGTGGTACCTGGCAGCATTTCCTTTAACTGTTGCATCAACCACAAGATCATCGTCAACTCGGAACATATAGCAGCCAATTCCCTAAACAAGAAGAACTATTTACGACTGCAACAGTTGAATATCAAATATATATCAATTAATTAGTTAAAACCCTATTATCAAACTGAAAAATGTTATCACCTTGCTCTCATAGTAGCGTTCTCTATAATCAGTAAGTATTGCTCTAATCTTCTCTCCTGCATATTCTATAACCATCTCCCCAGCAGATATCTCACGTTTACAGAACAGTCCTATCCCGTGGATATTACTAGCGTATACTCCCACCGCCTCACGGGCAGTCTTGGCTAGATGTCTGTATCTCATAGCCATCGGTAGATCTAGACTAGTCGCTCTTCTCCCGCTAGCAACCTGCATACTGGGATCATTGGCAACTTCTGGAGGAACAATAACTCCAACATTAGGATGCGGTTTCTTACGGTGTCTGCTCGCCAACCATTTAAACATATCAGTAGCTGACCGACCAGTGTAGGGTTGAGATCGAGCGCAACCGGTCGGATTCATCTTAACTTCGGCTACCGGTTCAGGCTCAAAGTGCTTCCATTCGTACTTGGAGGTTCGCCGTGCCCCAGGGAACTGTTCAAGGAGATAACGAAGAGCGGAATGGGTCAAACCTAACATCTGTTCTCCGGTGGGACCTAGAGAAGATGGCAACTGGGACGTTTTAAGTCCAGAGCGAGTGTGAGACACAGCGTCGTACACTTTCTTCCAAAGAACAGTTATATCACTTCCAGAGGCATGGAAACCACCGTCAGCGGAGCTGAGATCAAACAATATCCTCGGTTGATCAGGGTTCAAGGATTTTAAATCTACATTTTTCTGTTTAGAAATTTGGTTTCCTGATTCCTGCTGGTCGTCTCCAACTTCTAATTCGTTGATGAAGGTTTCTCGTGAAGGATAGGCATGTCCGTATGCATCTAACGGAACGGTGAATGCTTCAGTTTTGGATTTCATTTTCCTAGATATCCGTGCCTTGATCTTCAGTGCTTGTAGGGCAGATTTTGGACCAATGGTATCCGAGCTTGCCTGACTCCCATCTTTGATCATCACCTCTCGTATATTGTAATCTTCCTCCGAGTTCTCACGTTGAAGCACAATCTTGATACTGTTAGTTTTGGATGGTTTAGTGGTTACATTGATCCCACCCTCGTACTTGATATTTAGGTTAGGTTCAGGACTGGACGGATAATCATACTCATCTGTCTCATCCTCATCCTCAACATTTACAATATTATCTGAAGTAGTAATCACACTTTGACTAGGGATGATTTCTACGGAGTTAGGTCTTGATGCGGCTGATCCTGGCCTTGAAGCAGAGCTAGGTCGGGATAGAGAAAGATCAAGAACACTCCCAGTTGCTTTAGGTTTAGAAAGGTCGGTAGGTTTATCATTTAAAGGATTTTTAGAAAGAGACGTCAGGGCTTTCATTGGATCTAGTTTAGGTCTGGCGAGAATAGAATGTTTGGCTGGGGGTGGAGTTGGAGTAGTTCTGCTACCGGACAGTCCATCGCTAAAGCTTGATATGGGAGTGTGAGATGGAGGTGGGAATCTATGCGGAGCAGAGGTTGGTTTAGTGGGAATAGGACGAACAACATGAGGAGTAGGTTGAACCCGGGCTATTTTCTTAGGAGGAGGATAGATGGTATTAGGCTCTGGTTTCTGTAGAATAGGTTGAGGAGTTGGGACTGACTCTTGTTTAAACTGAATATTGGAGTAAACATGAGAGCTAGTAGCGGCACTAGAATGAATGGAAGTGGCTGGTTGTACAGTAGAGTAGACAGACGTTGGCTGTACATTGGAGTACATAGAAGTAGGCTGTACACCGGAGAATAATGAATTTTGTTGAACACTAGAATATAGACTGGGCTGTACATTAGTGTACATAGAACTGGTGATAGGAAGGGTCTGGTACAAGCCGGATCCCATGGATTGGGAAGCAGAGACAAATGCAGGATTAGAAATCATACCAGGCTGTTGTAAAACCTGCCCCTGCATACCAACATTGTACTGCATATTATTGTAAAATATTGTCTGGGTAAGAGGTTGTACACTGGGAACTGCAATGTATCCACCAAGCTGTTGTACTGGTTGTACTAGAGCAGGCGTGAGTACACTAGATTGAATAATAGAGGGTTGTAGACCATATTGATATCCTCCATACTGAAGTAATGTATTCCCAAATTGTGCTAAAGATGGTACTCCTGATACACCATGGAGATGTTGTCCTCCCATATACTGTACTGAACCAACCGCAGGGGGCTGTTGATGATGAGCTTGTCGAGAACCATGTCTTTTATCCCTTGATTTGGGTTGTCGGAACACCTTGTCCGGCTTCTTGATAATATTCTCACTGATAATCATGATCTCCTCTTCCTTCTCTTCAACCTTAGTCACCAACTGCTCACCAGACTCCGAAGAGAGTAAACCATGAATACTGAAATCCTTTCTAGGAGAACCGTCAGAATGTAAGGATAAGTTCAGTTTTTTTTTATCATCCATCTCCTCTTTAATCTCCTCAACCTTTGCGCAGTTTGATAGATGTGCCTCATAATACTGTTTATCAACATATGTGTTCCCGCAGTCCTGGCATAGAACTGATGTATCAATACCTCCAGATATATCTCCCTCTAGCTCCGTGATGGGAGTACTAGTAGTGGTTGGGTTAAACGGTGTTTCCCCCCTGGTGCTACTGCAACCCGCAGTACTTGGTCGACTAGCACATTCTGCTGAGGAAACACTTTCAACTGACGCAGTCTCTCTGTCCAGATTAGTTGGGATTGGAGCTCTTGGTTTCTGAACTATCCGAGATTTATGAAAACTAGGACCAGGCTCCTGCTTCATTTCCTCGGCTTTAATTTCAATAGGAAGGGATTCTTGTTTAATCTCCGGTTTCATATCTTCATCACTATCATCTGCCGCTCCGTCAAATTGAAGAATTCTTGATGCATTCATAACTTCCTCCTCATTTGTGCTTTCTATAATCTTTAATGAACTGTTACTATCTAACACTGGTTTCTTAACATCTTCCAATTTCTTGTTAAAAAATCTAATTAAATCTTGAGATTCCGTACTTTCATCCAGATATCTGGAAGGTTCGCCGAATCCCTGCAGAATGGCTTGGTCCTGGAGACTGGTTAAATACTGAAAACTTTCCCTGGTCAAATCAATCCTAGAGCAGGGTTCATCAATACATTCATATTTTCTCTTAATACTCATCCTGTCAGGAGATGGTGGCTTGAGATTGGTATAAACATTGTCTGAGGCTAGTTGGACCCCGTCATACGAGGCCGAGGTCTGAGTAATAATCTCCCGTACTTTGCATCTCTTGTTGGCATTGAACCAAGACTTAAGTTCGAATACTTCCCGTTTCCCAGTAGAAGAGTTGTCATGCTTAAAATCATCAAGATCGCCAGACAGATCACTTGAGAGTAATATATCATTAACTAATTGATCGTCTGTTTCAAGCTCAAGATCGAACATGTCAAGATCATCAGGAACCTTTTTGGGAGTTCTGAATCCTATGACAGCACGGTTAAACTTCCTGTGAGTTGGTGAAGGGGTTAGACTACTAGTTCTACGAGATACGGAGCTGAGAGGAGTTTTCACTTCTGACGAGGGTTCAGAAACTTTATTCTCTACTCCTGAGCTATGAGAACATGGATAATGAAGTTGTTCAATATCTAAACCTGGCCACAGGTCTTCTACAGCTCCAGGAGGTATTATACAACCCTCGTCGTACTCAGGGATAGGTCGGAGCCTTGAATTGAGTTCCTCCACTCTACCCTGGAACTCGAAGATCAGTTTCTTAACCGTCTCCTCCGATGACTTTGAATGGTCTATAACCAAAGGTTCCAAATCCTCTTGCTGTGAAGCAGGACCAACCAGCCTGAATTAAAACACATTTATGACAAATATTTTATAAAAGTTAAGAATAATACAAAAAGAAAGGGAAACATTTATTTATATTAGTAATCTTTTTTTCTGTATGCCAGTTTGTTTGGATGATCGATCATAACTCATGAGCCCCTGGACCGATTTGCCTCTATTTTAATTTAGGTGGTTGGTCTTTCTAGAGTTAGTGTAGTTTCCAGGAAAAGCTAAGTTCCTAAGCTAAAGTGACAAGTATTTATCAATACAAGTTTTAAAGTAAATTTTACCTTGTAGTGCAAGTATACGTTGTAAGCTGTGTAGGGTTTAGTACAGACCAGAATGATTTCCTAGCTGTCAGCCCAACAGGAACCAATGCCTAAAGAACAGTTCATCTATTTCATGTAATTTATGTATGTCAAAAATCAACAAAGATCGAAACGTTTGCGTTTTTAATCCCAATCATACAGCTAACGCTTAGGCTTTTTTGTCCTACCAATCTAGTTAATTTCTTGAGGACCCTATCAAATTAAAAAGTCATATGTGATTAAAAGTTAAATTTAAAAATATTTTTTTTGCCGATTACCTGATTAGAGCCGGATTCCTCGACAATAGTTCCTAAACTATCAATACTAACTCCACCCAGGACAAATTTTAGGTTCCTGAACAGATATTAATGAAAACTAAGGTTTATACGAAGTACCGGGCAACCCTATGGGCAACCGGGACAATTTGTAAAGTATAAATACGGATAAGTTTGTTTATGCTATACAATACATTCTTAAAATGTAAAACCGCTTAACTAATATATACGAAACATTTGCAAGTTTTCTTTGATAACTGTTATTAGTACATGCAGCTTTCAGAAATATTTCTTAAGATGGGTGTGATCAAATCATAACTTATATTTCTCACTTTTTCCCCCCCTTTATCTCAAATATTTTTTCCCTTACAAATAAAGTTTTAAAATGAAATACTAACCAAATCTGAAAGGAAGATGAAAGAAGTTAAATAAAAAGCATGCCCTGGGCGCTAATATCAAATACAAAGAAGGAATAGAATGTAATTGTTTGCACGAAACAAGATTAAAGAAGATCTGCGGTTATCCTTAAATTCAAAACGATCAACAATCCTAGAACTTTTTTTCCCGTGAGGCTAATTTCCTAAACTTCCAGAGACAAACTATCCAATAAAATTTAAATATTTACACACGAACTAACCTGAAATCCACTGGTTTACATTTCTTCCGCCCCTCCTCCGCCTCTCTATCCACAAACACACGGCGGAGCATCCTAAAGTCCGCGTTGTTTTCTTTACTGGCGTACTTCTGAGCGTGCTTCAAGCAGTAAATAGTTTTATCTGTCTTGTAGTCAGCCTGAAATAAAATCGTTTAGTACATAGTTGCCCTACATAACCTAAATAGTTAATAGGTGAGTTAAATTCCACTACATTACTATGTGAAGGTATATACTCACGTCCAAACAATGCAACTAGTAACTATAAAACCACTCCTGAACTATTTAACTACTATTTAATTTCAAGGCAACAGATGAAATGACTAGTTTGGTTGACAGCATCCTACACTACTAACCTGGGCTTCAAGTCCACAGATGAAATGATAGTTACTACTACAGTTTGCATGACAGCATCCTACTGCTGCACCTCTGCTACCGCACCATGAACAGACAAGGGTTCGAGCTCGAGATACAACCTAAACAACAGATATTTTTGGAGGAAGAAGATTTAGACAATAAAACAGGAATTCTCCCAAAGAAAATCTTACCATTTAAAAATATATCTGCCAATTTTCCTAAATCCATTAATGAAAAAAAAACCATCTTCATAAATTGTCAATATCATCCTACTTCTGGCCCAGCAATTTAATCATAAAAAACCCTGCTTAAATGCTATTTTAAGGTTAGTTATAAGTAAAATATCAGTGCGAACTATCAATATTATAAATAAGGCCCCCCCCATTCATAAAAATATTGTTTAGTAGACAGGAATTTCCATTAAGTTGCGAAAATATATATTTTTTGATACCTGAGGAATATTTTGTAAGGAACCGTCAACAGTCTCATATACTTCAGAACTCCAGAGCGCACAGTTTACATGTACCCACTCATTGTACCTATGCAGTGTACAATTATACAAACAATATCTACTTAACATGTACCCACTCATTGTACCTGTGCAGTGTACAATTATACAAACAATATCTACTTTACATGTACCAACTCATTGTACCTGAACAGTGTACAATTAAACGAACAATATCTACTTTACATGTACCAACTCATTGTCCCTGTACAGTGTACAATTATACAAACAATATCTACTTAACATGTACCCACTCATTGTACCTGTGCAGTGTACAATTATACAAACAATATCTACTTAATATGTACCAACTCATTGTTCCTGTGCAGAGTACAATTATACAAACAATATCTACTTAACATGTACCAACACATTGTTCCTGTGCAGTGTACAATTATACAAACAATATCTACTTAACATGTACCCACTCATTGTACCTGTGCAGTGTACAATTATACAAACAATATCTACTTAACATGTACCCACTCATTGTACCTGTGCAGTGTACAATTATACAAACAATATCTACTTTACATGTACCAACTCATTGTACCTGTGCAGTGTACAATTATACAAACAATATCTACTTAACATGTACCCACTCATTGTACCTGTACACTGTACCTGTACACTGTACAATTATACAAACAATATCTACTTTACATGTACCAACTCATTGTACCAATATGCTGTGTACAAATATACATACAATACCTACTTTACATACAATGTACATGATTAATAACAATAAAAAAATAATAAATAATAATAAAAAATAATCATTATAATGCTCATTATCAAAATCATAAATGAATCATAATTGTAAATGAATGATAATAATAATAATAATAATAATAACAATAATAACTTAAAATAATAAAAAATCAACGATAACTTTCAGATTTTATCGATTTTAAAGTGTTTTTCTTCTTCAAAAATTACAGTCTCGGGAAAGGAATCTTTTAAAAACTTAGATGGAAAAGTCAAATTTTACGTAATTGATCAGATTTAGGATCCTCTTTTACAAAACTTTGATATAGTTCACTAACCTGTAGTATAGAAGACGACCAGCCGACTTCTCTTCTATATCACCAACCCTTCCACATAATAAACATTTCCTTTCATCACAATCAATCACAGTGTCAGATTTAGGGTTGGATTTCACAGATTCAGGCGCAGAGTTCTTCTCTTGAGTTATTTTTTTAATATCTTGAAGAGTAACTTCAACCCTCTTCTCTACCTTTCCTTGACTGTAGCTATGCTCAGGATAGGGGTTCCTGTTTAAAGAAATTCTTATTTAATTTTTAAATAATAATATTAACTGATTATAATTCTGAAGAAAATCAAGAAATTATTTAATAACAAAAAACTGTTGGTTACTGGTAGAAAAACTCTTTATCGTTTGCAGAGCATTACTTAATAATTCCAATCCTTAATTTTCTCGTGAGTATTTATTGGTAAATAAAGGACGAACCTGACAGAATAAAATCTTTCTGAAGAATTCTCTCCAGGTTGCCAGAGCAACCAGTTCTCAGCTGGTTGTTCAGGGTTAAACCAGGAGAACTCAGATCTAACTAATCTATCGAATTCGCTGCGTATACAGTTCTTGATTCTCTTTCTAGAAAATAAAAATAAATTAGGGCGTCCGTATTTAAAGATAACCCCTTTCCCCTTCCCTTCCCTCATCCCATCCCATCTCTTCCCTCATCCCATCCCTTCCCCCATCCCTTCCCCTAAGTTTCCAAAAGGTTTACGAGATGCAGATATAAACTCAACACGGAGTCAATCCGTCCGGTCTTAATCTTCTGCTGAAGTTCCACTAGATCATACACATTATTATCCTCATCATCGTCATCATCAACATCGTCAACAAGGCTAGTATTAAGGTCACTTATAACTGTGTTTTGGATATGGTTAGAAGGCAGTCTATAAGTAGGACTAGGAAAGGTAACTAGAGGTTTGTGATCTGCTTTGTTTAGTTTAATATCTGGAGATTGGTTTAGATGAATTGGTCCCAACCAGCTGTGATCAACTTTCTCCAGACAAACACTAAAATAAAATAAAAAATAAACCGACATTATTTCCGATTAAAAATTTCTCAGGGGTATATATATCTTCCTGCACCTTTTTATAAATGTTTGGTAAAAAAATCAAAATGGCTGAAAAAACTTACACTACATACAGTTTTTCAACCCTCTCCCCATTTTTTAACACCCCTGCTTCATTTTTATAATTTTGTCTACTTCTTTAGATAGCAAATTTCTGACGGTCTTAAAATTTGACGTATTTAGTACTATTTGTAAAAAAGTACAATTTTTTCTAAAAGAAAACTGCTTTTTAGCAGGAAATTTGCCATCAATTTTAAATAATCAAATTAGCTTTAAAGGGCACCCACGTAAAGTTTGGACTTAAGACTATAAGACTTACCAACAGTTTCTTGTATATTCTGGTTGAATATTTTCTAAAATATTCTGCAGAATATCAGAACTAACACTAGGAGCAGACACAGTCACGACAGAATCAGGCAAACTTTCATCTGTAAGAAAAAAACAACTACTCTTCATCACATGAAAGGATTGTCAATGGTATTAAATAAATGTTATCAATGATTCACAACAGTATACCCGGATTGAACGAGCTGTTGTTATTGTAAGATATTTAAACCGAAAATGAAATATTACCCGTTTTCCAATGAATAGAATCGTCGGAACTAAGAATGTCGACTTCTATTGAACAGGACAATTCATTCGCCTCTTTTTGTCCTTGAAAACTTGTCTTATCAGGACTTGTAGTTTGTTTTTCTAGTTTTCTAGAGTTGGATAGATGAATAGCACCAGGAGGGTCCGAAGTTGTGCGACAACGCTTTTGTGCGTTGGAAATCATAAAGTATTTAGCGTACTTGTGCTGTAGCAGATTCTCAATAATTGTATTCTGTTTGTTCAGAATATCATTATTAACAGCCTCAAGCCAAGAGGGATGTGCAGCATTGTTGCACAATCTGGAAAAAATAAACATTTAAAATACAATTCAAAGATTCTGTAGAATGCAGAGGATTCAGAAATGTTAATTGATTTTTGCAGACATTTTTGAATCAACTGCTTTCCATGATAATAGTGTATTTGATTCTATGCCCTTGTATAGTCTTTCTTAAGAGCATCCTAATGTAGTGAATATTTTCTAGTGTAATGAATGAATAATATATTTGAAAGACGAGACAAGGTATAAGAATGTTCAAGAATGGGCAGGTACAGGTTATTTGACTAAACATTATCACATTGCGTAATATAGTAATCCTGCGCAAACTTCATCAGATTTTGTCCTTCCCAACCACACGGGTAAATATTTTATAATTGTTTTAAACTGGAATAAAGAATAAAACCTGATGAAGTCGTTGCAGTTCTTTGTACAAGTACAACTAACATAGTTCTTAATACTCACATGGTGGAAAAGACAAAATCTGGAAGTCAAAAAGTAAAACCGGAAGTTAGCTAAGACAAAGCCCAGAATTGATGTGTTTGAGATCAAAATTCAGAAGTGTCCATTGCAAGAGGAAGGGCAAGATCAGGGGCGTCAAGCATTACGTAATCAGATTCATTTCCCATTGCGTCAATATCAGTTTCAGCGTCAATAGCATCTGCAGGGTTAGGGGACGAGTGTTCAGTAGCATGTGAGTTTACAATACAAGCATGAGGTAAAGAATTAGGGTTCTCTGGTTCCAGTGTCTGGAGCTGAGACAATTTGGCAGGGGATTGTGGACCAAACTGCTGGTCAGGAACAGCTGACAGAATTTGGTGAAAATGATCATTTTCCCGCATTTTCTCAATTTTGGCGCCCAACCCGTCTTCAGTTTTCAGAGGATTTTCAAGAGGAAATGCAACACTTGACAGTTTGCACCTGCTACATATCACATATCATTTTTGAGAAACGACGATTTAATTACGAAAAGACGCCCATTGTGATAATTATTGATGCCTCACCTGCAAATATATTCTACAGTATCAGGGAGTAAGGAGAGAACTTGGTATTGTTCTCCGTCCAATCCCTCACACTTGGCATGAATCCATCTAGATATAGTTAAAACAACAATTTAAAGAACATCACCGTGATCTGAAGATTAAAGAAATCAGGTTGAAATTCCTCAATGAAATGATGTCGTACGTAAAATAGGATATTTTTTTTTCACTCACCCTCCACATTTTCCACACTCCATCATGGCTAGCTCGTAATCGTTGTCATCGTAACATTGTTCACAGATAGGACAGTAACTGCCACGGAGCTTTGCTGCTCTACACTCAGTACACAGTACATCTCCCTATACATACATATAATAATAATAATAAAAATAATAATAGTGCAATACATACATACAATATGAATATATAGGATACTGAAAAAAAGGGAGGAGGGGGTAGATTAAACACTCTTGAATTGTCAAGTTTTGAAATTTAATTTTTGCTACTGATGATACCCGCTACAAAATACAGTTGAGAATAAATAAACTACTCGAACATTATATTATAAAGTCTGAAATTAATCAAGGTGACTTAAAAAGTTCTGGAAGAATCCATTAATCTTTTAATTCACCTTGGAGTAAGTTTTCACATTGGCAACTCCACAACTTGAACATTTTAAACATGATCCACACATCCAATCCTTCTCCTTCCTACCCTCCTTCTCCTTTATACAGATCAGATGGTACATATCTCCACAGCTACAGCAGATCTTCCTAAACATATACATCAGGTAACTCCTTTATACAGATCAGATGGTACATATCTCCACAGCTACAGCAGATCTTCCTAAACATATACATCAGGTAACTCCTTTATACAGATCAGATGGTACATATCTCCACAGCATACAGCAGATCTTCCTAAACATATACATCAGATAAACTCCAAGGTTTGATATGATTAAAGGGACTGTTATTTTTATTTCTACAGATCAGATGATACATTTCTCCGCTGCTACAGCAGATCTTATCAAATGAAGATGTTGTCGTTACTTAGTTTCAAGCGTTCAATTCTCACAATTTCCTCCATTGCTAATGCGGCACTAATAAAAAATCCGCAAATCACTTAAAAAAAACCGCATATATTTTTTTTTTCAAAATTAAAGTTATAGATATCTCATTCGTTCTTGATCAGACAAAGCTTTAAGGACAACCGTTGTGATCAGACACCCAACTCTATAAATAAAGTATAAAATTATTTTTATTATATAACATCAAGAAAATAATTGTTTCAACTCGTCTTAAACTAATATTTTTATTGTATGGAATTTAAGTATAAAATTTACAAATCTGAACTAACCTAAGTTTTGTCTCTTCACAGTTCTCTGGTTTGAGTTGACCGCAAACTTTGCAACGAATACATCGGGAACAAACCCATCTATCCTCATTCATTCTCAGCATCTCATCCTAAACATTGTACACGGTCAACATCTATACCTCTACCTGTGACCGTACTCGTGCCACCCCAGTCTAAAAGTTACAACACGTACTATATATATGCAGTCCGTCGTACTATCCAGTCGCACTACCCAGTATAGAGTCGACCCAGCACGTTTTAAGCAAAAAATGTAGCCTGGCAAGATCAGTGGTACCCGAACCCGTACCCCTGTTAACTATTGTACTCATATTTTTCAATGTTCACCAAGCTTGAAACTTATTATTTCTTCGGTATCTAAATTACTATAATTTTATGAATGACATTTAAATCTCAAATATACAGAAACAACCCAAAAATCTCATCTGAACAGGTTCCAACAATATCCCAGTAAACATTTAAAAACCGAGCAGCAACAGTTTGTATTAGTAATGAATGGTATATATTTTGTTATATAACTGAAACAGATGGCAAAAATTGGTCAGTGAGGTTACACACGTAAGAGAACTCTATATTTGAATAGAGCTCTCATCAATAATCATCCGCTAGGCTTCATCGAATTAAGTGCACCCTGGTGTATACTCTAAACTTGTGAAAAATGAAATCAAATAAAATCGTCTATTCTTCTGAACTTCATTCTCGAATAACGAAACAGTCTTGGAAAAAAAGATAATGCTGAGAACTCCAATATCATTTTTACTCTATGACAACATTAGGTTTCATCACAATCTAATTATAAGAAGATAAGTATGTGACAGGATCTATGAGAAGGTGTAATAAATCAAATTAATCAATCAGAAAAATATTTTTTTTTTCATCATGTACACACTGGAACCTTGACACACATTCCCAGGAGGGGTTCACATAATTCTCCTAAAAACTAGTTTTAAAAGATATCTCGGAGAAAGAATTCTCAATGAATGAACGGATGAATATAAAAATGCGTTTTTTCAATTTATCCCGAAAAAATTATTTGTCATAAAAATGAATTAAATTCGCATAAAAATTTGTTTATCCAATTTTTGTAAGGAAAAGAATTTTACAGGCGGAGGGATGATTAATATTTTGATGTCTGAACCAATAACCAGGAGACTACCCTATGTCAAGACAGAACACAATGTATAGACTAACCTCTGCTAGATAGAATACAATGTATAGACTAACCTCTGCTAGACAGAATACAACGTATTACTAAACTCTGCTAGACAGAATACAGTGTATAGACTAACCTCTGTTAGACAGAAACAATGTATAGACTAACCTCTGCTAGACATAATACAATGTAAAGGCTAACCTCTGCTAGACAGAATACAATGAATAGACTAACCTCTGTTAGACAGAAACAATGTATAGACCAACCTATGCTAGACAGAATACAATGTATAGACTAACCTCTGATAGACAGAATACAATGTAAAGGCTAACCTCTTTTAGACAGAACACAATGTAAAAGCTAACCTCTGCTAGACAGAATACAATGTACAGACTAATCTCTACTAGACAGAATACAATGTATAGACTAACCTCTGTTCGACAGAATACAATGTATAAAATAACCTCTGCTCAACAGAATAAAATATGACTATGATATGACTAACTTCTGTTAGACAGAATACATTATATAAACCAACCTCTGCTAGACAGAAGGGATGAACTGGTTCACAACATGAGATACAAATTATCATCTTCTCAAGCCCTGCTGACCCACATTGGTAGCACAGGTTAACACTTAGACTACTGCTCAGAATAACACCCTTAAAAAAATAGTTTATAACAAACTTTTTTCAAAATTTAGCCACTCAAGAATTTAAATTATACAGGCTTAATTAGTTTATTTGAAAAAAACGGAAAATTTGAGGTTTTTTTTCCAAAGATAAAATAATACCTGTCCTTCAACATTGTTTATCAGAGGGTTAAACTCTTCTGTGTAATCAACGGATATCTCACAGTTTTCGGGAGATATAACAGAACTAAAATAAATAGAAAAGTAAAAACTATTGATCTTTTAAATTAGTGGATAGAAATCTTTAAGTTTTCAAAACCAAAGAAATGATTAAAAACCTCAAATAAATCATTATTAATATTTTCAGTGAGTTATCAGATCTTCTCATTACCTGGCTACGAGGATTTCTTGAAGATTTTTAGAAGCAAGATAATCATCCTTCATGTTCTAGAATATCAATTGGGTTAGTTAATCATTTAAACGGTAAATTCTTAATGCTTTTATTGTTTCGAAATTTTCGATATTAAACTTCTGTGAAAATTTCAGAATTAATTTTAAGGGAGAAGAATGTAAAGTTAAATGCTTACTGAGCTGTTAAAGTTCTTAAGTGGGGATAAGGTTAGTCCCTTCTCCACAAAATCCTCTAAACTTTCTCCGCCTAGAACCGGAGACGCAGATCGGGAATCTTCCGATTCATCTGAGGCGGAAATATCACTGAGATTATCTGGTAAACCGGAGAAAGGAGATGAAGGATGGCGGAGTGTGGTTGAGCCGGAAGCCCGAGAGCGGAGAACACAAACACGATAAATGCATCGTTTTTTGTGAATCGATTTTCCGCCAAACTTTCGCTGAAATATATGCATTCGGTATTTTCTGCAGACTGCAATTGCAACATCTGACAACTTCAATATTGGTTTAATTTTTCTAAGAAAGGAACTGATCATTCACCAAATATAAATTTCAAATCCCATTTTCTTTGCAACCCTAGTCCTTTCATAAGAAATCTTAGGTTGATTAAGTTAGTAATGACAAAGAATTAAAGGTGTCAAATGCATAATAGTACAGTAAGTACCTTGTCTAAACAGAATTTACAATGTCCACACTCCTTCCTAGTACACCCCTCACAAACCTTACATCCCATAGCCTAGAAAATCAACATCATAAACATCATCTTATAGTTTTGTTTTCCAACGAGATTTGGTTTGGCGTTTTGAAAAAATTTGTTCTCACTAAGAATTTGTAATGACAAAGTAAAATGAACCTTTATATGTTTTGAACCATCTATTTCAAGAAAATGAACAAAATTTGAAATAACTGAACAAAGATAACAAAGGAGTGACTAACTAGCCCCTAAACCATACAATACCTTAATCCCCGTACTGGAATAATTAGGAGTTGATAAGGATACAGGAGATGGTATGACGACAGGAGCCGGCAAGGATACAGGAGGTGGTACAGTAGGAATACTCTGAACTCGAGGTGTCTCACATCTACGATCCGCACATCTAAATCCACACAAAACTATATATTCAACATTGGATCTAACTAAATTCTAGGTCTAATGCTGTAGACAGTCAAATTTGCAAGTCGGAGTGGTCTAAGACAAAATGCGCTTTTAGGAAGAAAAAGCGTCATTTCAAAGCTGAGTGACTAAGTAAAGAAAATCCTTAGCCTAATTTGCAGGTGATTATCGGGGGGGGGGGGGGGGGGGGGGGGAAGTGGATACTTTCATTCCCGAGGGTAACCTCGAAAAGTTGACGTTTCACAAATACATTACTTAAAAAAATAAAAATCCACGAAACTCTAAGTTTCTTATGTACGAAAAAAATGATGGCTATAAGAATAACATTTTTAAGCTAAAATTGTTAATTGAAACAGGAAACGCCCTGAGATCAGATTGAATGTTGTTAATCTTGAAAACTTGATCAGGGTCAAACATATCGAAACAGAAACAAAATTTATCTGTAGATCTGCATAACATGCAGATCAATACTTGATCCCGAGATTCAAAACACTAAAGTTCTTATTTCTGAAAGCCTAGAATATAATATCCTTAAATGATATAAAATATATTGCATCATGGAGAAGAAAGTTTGATACCAATATTTCCAATTTATTGGAAGGACGGAGATAGAGAACAGTTCTATTGCACTTTACTTTCATGCAATATCAAGCTGGGAATTATAGAAATTATTGAATCAATCAAGGACTCGCAACCTTTAGTAGCTAGAGTAGAAAATTTCACCTTTTGTTGACAATCGCAGGACCACCAAACTTCTTTTTATCCAAACAAAATCTGAAAAAGTTATATAAGAATTTGAGCCAGAAATATAGGGTTTTTGATCAGTTTGCATTGTTTCCTTAGTAGTTTTATCCTATTCAATCCTACACTTATACTCAACCATTCACACAAGTTTTGTAATAGGATTCTTCTTTAAGGTGCTGAACCTCAAGTTTTGAAACGGATTTTATATTTATCGCTTGTCCAGTCAGGAGCATTTGTTGAAAGGAAGTAAAAAGTCACAAGGTGTTTGTAACCTGATGGTGAACATCTTGAAAATTTTAAACCATTTGATTGAACCGAAGTTTAGTTGAAAAAAAATATTAGTTTTACAAAGATGTAAGAATACGAATGTGTGACAATTGTTAAGTTTCTTCTTTCAGTACTACCTGCACGTGCCGCAGTCTGGTTTCCGACAATTAATGCATTTCTTGCATCCTACCAACTTCACTCGTCTTCCTGTAGAAAATTAAAAAATAAGATAAAAACCCCAGAGAGATTTTTGGAATATTTTTTAAAAACTAGAATTTTTTTTTAATATTAATTTATTTTTATTAATATCTAGGTACAAAATCAAATCTTCAGATAAAAAATATATATTGAAAATCAAAGTACAAACCTGTTCTGTTAATAAATCGGGATTTCAAAACCTTCGGAGTCGTCAATTCGTCACTTTTGGCACTCTGTCGCCTAAATCAAACTATTTTGGTGAAACTATCAAGAATTTTTTATAATTACTAATATTAAAAAATAAACATCGAACATGAAATCGGTTATGGGTATTTTCCAGATTAAAAGGGATTGACCGGCAATGTATGGTAGTTTAACTTAGGTTGTAGTATTGTGGAGAAATTTTTTAGGATTCATTTTAGACATATAAAACGTTTTAAAATGTATATTTACTGAGTGTAGGCTCAAAGTCGACGTTCAAAATCCCCCATTTGGGTGGTCGCGTTTTAAGAATCGATGACTTTGAACGTCGACTTTGCGCTCAAACTCAGCATCATTAAGACGTTTTATATGTCTCAAATAAATCCTAAAAATTTCTCCACAATACTACATTCTCAGTTAAACTACCATACATTGCCGGTCACTCCCTTTAACACCTTCGTTAAATCATCTTATTTTCTACAACAAACAACATTAAGTAAAATATTTCTCTTTTTTCTTGTTTGAAAAGATTCAATATTTGACAAAATATAGAAATAAAATTTCAACATTCTCTAATTTCTGAACAAATGCCTTTGTTGAGTGTAATTGAAAAATTATCGAAAATTGTGAGGAAACACAATTGTGAACAGAATTGACGCCTTCAAAGTATTTCTGTAGATATTGATTATCAAGTTTAATGATACAATTTTTTTTTATTTTAATAGTTTTTTTTTCTGTCAGAGAAGGATATTTATTAGGGAAATGTTGTTAGTAAATGTTTAAAATGTTTTTATAAAAAATATCCCCTCCGAGCCAAAAATTCATGAAAAGGGAATTTTTTCAATTTTTCATTTTCTAAATGATTTTTTTTCTGATGAATTCAATTCTAACCTGCATACATAGGCAGCTCTGGGAACATCAAAGTTTGGACCTAGGAGTTCCTGCCTCTCTAATATACCATGACTTCGTTTCCTAAAATAGCAATATTCAAATAAGCTTAATCCATATATCTACGATACGTCGTCTTTCAAACTTAAGCTTTTTGTTAGTAAAAAGGTACTGATGATTACTTTTCTTTATACTCATAATTTTCTAATATATATGCACAACCTGATACTTTGATGCTTAAAAGAGATTTGCTTTGAAGGTTTTCATATCAAGATTGATATGTAGGGATTAGGAAATTAGGGTTTAGGAATTTGGGATTAATAATTTCTTATTTCGGTGGGCGGGTTACAGGGGTGAATATGTTCTTGAAGAATCATTGTCCCCAACTCTCTGAAAACAATTTTTTTCTCACTAAATGAAAGGTGTGTTTTTTGAGGGTTTTATTCGGTTAGCTGAGGATTAAAATAATATTTAATCTTTAAAATATATTAATTGGGAAGTAGGATATTAATCTTTTAAAAAAAATGGATGAAAAATTAAGAATATTAGAATTGTATTTCCATGATGAAGCCAATTCTTGTTTTGCCCTATCGGAAACCCAATGAGATTATGTACATCAAGGACCGAATTTAATGAATTTGACCTTGGTCGCTTACTACTAACTGCAAGTTCAAAATTAAATCACCGAGTCAAAGTTGAAGATTCAGGAGGATTTTAATTGGTTATTCGAGATTTGAACCAGCAATGAGTAGCTTAGCAATCTTTGAAATTCATCAAATTCGTTCCCAGATTATTAAAGGTTAGTGTAGTTACATAATATTTCATATTGTTAAAATGAATACCTGTGTATGGCTAGATTTGTACTGTATCCGCAATCCTTCTTGCAAACATCACAGATATAAATATCAAACTTCCACTGAGTAGGTTGTATTCCATCTCTCCATTTAGTTCTAGACAAACAACAATTATTAAATTATTCGACTCTAAAAATTAGCAAAAAAAATATTCTTACTTTGTTTCTTCTATCTTAACTTCTGGCACGTCTTCTTTAATTACTTTGTGAGTATCCGTTATAATTTCATCAGGTTCGATGACAACACTCTTTTTCCTTGCAATAATAAGAGGCTGAGCTCCTGAGCTAGTAGGAGTAACTGAAACTGGTTTATACTTGATAACCCTTCCTCTCGGAAGAGATTTAGTTTTTATAAGGGTCTCTCCAAACTTCTCATGCTGCTTCATGTGACAATAAAGGTTCTGTCTGTATCCACAATCTTTACTGCACACCTCACATATAAATTGTCCACTAACCCAACGTGAAGAACTATTCGCTTTCTTGTCTTTTCCTTGATTAGCAGGAATGGAAGAGGACGCGGAGGGGTCAGCTTTTAGAATTTTAATATTTCGCTCAGAATCCTGTAAAGATGGGCGACCTCTCTTACGTTTCAAAAGATTTGTAGAAGGATTACTTTCAGAATCGTCTAGACTTTTTAATGTGAGCATTTTTATGTCTGCTTTTGGTTCAACAGGGATAGGGATTGCTGGGATATCTGAATTCTCCTTGTCAGAGCTTTTCCCGACACTTTCTGGAGATTTCTCGCCAAGAATTGGAGATTTTACTAGAGTTTTCAGTAGTTTCTTTTTCTTTCTACTCATGGATTTTTGGTACGGCCTACTTGCACAAATATCTAAGTCCGGGTTTTGCTTCAGGGTCAGTGTTTTTAAGGGGGATACTTTCACGCTTGAAATAGAATTTGACTCCAAGAGTTCTTCTCGAACAGGATTTAAAACAAATCCGTTCAGCTTCTTCGGAGTCTTGTGCTCCCTTTTCGAGCTTCGACTTTCAGGGTCAGAAATAACTGAACATGCAGGTGTAATTATTTGAGATGTAGGATCAGATTTAGTGTCCGATTGAATTTCAGGTTGTACTGTATCTTTCACGCATACAATTTCCACGTTGGCAGCCTCCTCTGGTTTGACATTGGTCGTTTTAAGAAGAGTTTCAAAATCTTCAAGATTTTTTGGAGGTTTACTGGTTCTCTTCGAGACTCTTATCTCATTAGACTTAAAAACTTCGTTATCATTATTCGTCTGTTCATCTATGGCTTGTATCTTCAGGTTAGTGGTGGTTTCAACTTCCTTAGATTTCTTTCCGGTTTTAGATTTGGCAAACTTTGCCATATTATCGGTATTTTTAACGGTAAAATCTGTTGCCTTTTCTTCATCATTAATGCCAGCTTGATTTGTTTTGGGATTAGCTTTTATTGAGGTTGCGTTTGTGTCCACTTGGGGTTCGGAAGCTATTTTAAGTATTTGAGAAGTTTTCTTTGATTTGTTAGAGGTAGATTTAGAGATCACGATTTCGGATTTAACCGGAGATTCTTTACTCAGGAGAAACTCTTTGAAGGATTCTGATTCATGTTTCTCTAGTGTGAAGTCTACTGGTCTAGAATCCATATTGAGTAGACTAACTTGAAACTCCTGGAACCTTGGCGGAGGTCTGCTTTGCCGTTTAGCTGAACTATTGCTGGTGCTGCTCCAAGAAGTCGCTGAAGTGCTGCTAACTAAGCTGCTTGTCTCAATATCCTTAGAACTGGAGCTGCTCGATTGTATTTTAGCAGCACATTTCGCCTCTTTTATCTGCTCAACAACCTGTGATAAAAAAGGTTCAAATTCGCCAACAAGCTATTTCCCAGTATTGAGAAATACCAATAAAAAATCCCAAAAGCTCCATAAACTTCACGCAAATAATTTTATCTTGTTCCTCTTTTATCAAATTCCCATTATTCTCTCTTTCACTCTATCACAATTTCTTTTTATTTTTAATAAGTTTTAAATTTTGTTTTGGAAAAATAAATATCTCTGTGATTCTATAGAACAGTATTGAATTAAAAATTGCTTTTACTCTCATTAATACAAGAATATTGTGCTTATAATGATACTGGAGTCTAGTTCTTTAACCTGTTCTGTTAGCGGAGGTAGATGAAAGTTGAGAACATTCTCGTTCTTCTTCATCTTCTTCAGCCGTAGATATTTAGTTAGTTCTCCATCATCCCTTAAAACAGTAGAGTCTGGAGCCAGGAGAAGAACGGACCAACGTTTCCGAGATTTATAAATTTTCTTTCTCCAACCTCCAGCAAGGTTTAGAACCATTTCCGTCCGTCTAGGTAATCTTTTAACCATTGCTGGGGGATTGTTTTCCGATGAATTTATTACAGGATGAGGGGTTGAATATTTGTTTGTAGATTTGACAGATATCTCTGAGCATGTCTCCGACCCAGAAAGGATAGAGAAGACAGGATCATCCCTAGAAAACATGTTCTGTTCACAAACCGGAAAATGGAAAGGATTCCCGCACCAAATATATTCCATTCAATACATTGTTATAACAATGGACATTTTATACAATTACAGCCATCTTCTTTATTTAAAATTTTTAAAAATTTAATTTAATTTAAAAAATAAATTGCTGTTCACTTAAAATTTAAAAAAAATAAACTGTTACCTGTCCAGATTCAGCTTCTTGCCGGCATTTTGGTTAACAACGAAATTCAGGTTTGAGAACTGTTTGCACAGTTTTACCCAATTCTCAGATTTATTTTTTCCGCCCAGAATAGAGCAAGTGAGGCGGAGCCAGCAGGCAGAACAGTTTCTTTCCGCCTTGTCTCCTAGAGTACAGGAGAATTCTCCTGATTTACAAACAGGTTTGTTCTGGTTGGATGAGAGGATCCTCGTCGAGAACTTACAGCACAAGGTACACAGGTAGGTGTTCTCTATCAGGGATGAAGATAACGTCTAGAAATAATATTTAAAAGATTAAACGCATCTAAATAATTTCAAAAAACACATTTCTTTAGTTTTAACATACAAGCTATACGAGTTAAAATCTGTAAATCCCTTGTCTTGAGAGACACAAAGACATCGTTGAGATTTCTTTATAAATCCATAAAGAAAATAAAAAGGGTTTTTTTCAAAAAAGAATAACAATCTTAATGACAAATATCATTTTTATTGCTGCATCTTGATCCGTGAGTCAGATTGCAAATTAATTTTATTTACAGTTAAAAACCAGGATTCATTTTCCCTACATGCCTTTAAAATAAATGAACAAAATTTAACCTGTGCTGGTGTAAGAGTTCCACATACACCACATACAACTATTCCATAATCATCCTCTTCATCCTCTACTAGGGCACACCCAACTAAACATGTAATCATGATTATTATCCTCTTCATCCTCTACTAGGGAACACCTAACTGAACATATAATCATGATAATTATCCTATTCATCCCCTACTAGGGCACACCCAACTAAACATAAATCATGATTATTATCCTCTTCATCCTCTACTAGGGAACACCCAACTAAACATATAATCATGATAATTATCCTTCCTATCTTCTACTAGGGAACACCTAACTGAACATATAATCATGATAATTATCCTATTCATCCCCTACTAGGGCACAACCAACTAAACATAAATCATGATAATCATCCACTTAATTCTTTAATAGAGCACACTTAACTAAACATGTGACGATCGTAAAACTAAGTGCATTTAAACATATTATGGTGACTGGTGGTTACCCTATAGTTGTCTTACTTAACTACGTGATAACTTTTATAGCCTATATCTTACTTTTAAGAAATTTGTTTTCTGGGTGGTAACCCCCCCCCCCCATCCCGGCATACAATGACTTAGTCCAAATAAAAATGCCTTTCTTTTAAACACTACAAACATTTTTCTTAACAATTTTTTAAACTCAAAAATTTTAAAAACCAGGGTAGAAAATGCTAGGAGCGGGGGGAGGGTGATTTTCGTTTAGAACTACTTTGGTAGGTTCTTGGTGTCAACAACATTAGATAGAATTAAATTATTATATAGAATTTAATTAATAAACAAGATTTAAAACTTTATTTAGATTTTCAAAATTTTTAGAAGTAAGGAAATAGATTATCTTAGTTTCAAAAGTTCTGTCCTTCATAAATTTTAACGTTTCTGATTTAAATACTAGTGTATACTGTAATGTATGGTCTATACCGTAGATCCGTGAGTTTACAAAACTTTTTTTAAAAAATTACCTGGATTGACAAATTCTCCATTACAAAGTAGAATTCTCAAGTTGGAAAACTTGTCCCTTGAGTTCTTTTTGGAGATGAACTGCTGAATTGTCCGACTGAGTTCTTGTCTTCCTTTCCTACCCCTGAGCTTGTCAACCCACTCCTAGGATATAGTATTGAACATTAAAGGGATGTCTACTGTGAATGTGAATCCATCCTAGAAAGGATGGTCAGTTACCCATCCCCTCAAACTTTAATGTAACCTCGTGATACTTAATATACTACATAAGGCACACTGCTGATAATGGACCATCAGGTTTTAAGTCAAAACACCTCGACTTCTGTTTGGAATATATTTATATGCAGTCTACTAAATTATATTTATCTAAAGAAAATTCCACATCGGGAATTTTGAGCAAATCCATTTTGAAGAAGTTAAAGAAATCGAGTGCATTCACAGGTCTAAAATGAAACTTAAATTTCGTTTCAAGACTTTTACATGCTTCTCATGGGTTTTTGACGATATTTTTTTACAGTATGTGGCATGGTTTCCAAATTTTTAATTTTTCTTTAACAGTCATGGAAAATATTGTACAGAAATCAAACCCCTGAGTCAACTGCCTGACTGTCAAAATACGGCCAAAAAACGACATTTTGGTGTATTTTTTACAGATTTTACTTCAAAAAGACTTTTTAAAGCAATAATTAGGCAATAATACAGGTCACTTGAGGCTTTGAATTTTTGCTAAAACGTGTCTTATGACTGCTAAGGAAGATTCACTAAATTTGGGGGCCCTGCCATTAACGGTTCTAAAACTATCACTAACACAGAATAAGCTTGATAAATCCTTGAAACTACAGTTACGTTTGAGTTTAGACCTGAAAATGCACTTGATTTCTACATTTTCTTTAAAATGGATTTGCTTATAATTTTCCGAAAATTGAGATTATAACTAAGAAGACTGCATATAAATATATTCCAAAGAAAAAGTTTTGGTGTTTTGACTTGAAACCTGATGATCCATTTTCAGCAGTGTGAAGGGTTAGGTTAAGCTAAGGCAATTTTTAGACATAAATTTAAATTAATTCTTGCATAATATTTTTGGGTGGGGNGAATCACACACGTAGAAAATACAGTTATAGCAATTTTATAATCAGTTTCAAACCTGGGAGAAAAGATGTAGAGGTTTAACACTAAGAACAGGTTCTCTAAGCAGAGGTTTAGGTTTAGCCGAGCTAGAACTAGGTTCAGATTGAGCAGGAGAGGGTTTATGAGTTGCTTCAGGTTTAGATATTCCTGTCTCAACATTTCTAAATAAAAAAGTTATCTCTGAAATGGAACTCGATAAAATAAAAAAATAAAGTTTTATCCGACACAAGGAACATTGTTTATACCAGTGAAAAGAGTATTTCTTTTCTTGGTAAAACTTTCAAGCCCAGCAATACTTGATTTAATACACTTTTAAAATAAGATTCCTATCTTCAGATTTTCGTTTAATTGACCCAGACTCTCAAAATACAAAAATATTGATTTTCTAAAACTTGCGGTGATTGGCCTGAATTTTTTTCTCTTACCTTTCTTTGTTTTTGATTCCCTTTATCCTAGATATCCACTGACTCTGTAGGATTTGCTGAATTTGTTTAATTTTACCAGATCCGTCAGTTTTACCGCCGGTTATAGCTGCAGTATACTCCTTAATAAAATATCGTTGAATAATGTGAGAGTCGTCAAACTGTAGAGTAAGAAGACAAAGTACAAGCAATCAAATCTGTATAAAATTGTTCAGTGAAATGGGTTTGTGTACAGTGTACCAGTGTACACTGTACACGTTACAATTTCTGTGCTTCTTAAACATTAGACTTGTGGTAAAGTAAACTATCTCCTCGGATGCTTAAAAATATTAAAAAATATTTTACACCATTTGGCTCATATTCCACATGCCTAGAATCGTTGTCTAACCTGTACCGACTTGAAGAGGGATTCCGCGTCGGACGATGAACTCATAGCACGACCTTTTTTCTCCTTTGTGTCCTTCACCTTGAGGTCCGGTGTGAGGCTGGTGGTGTCAAAGTTTGTCGGGTTGAGAGTGGGTTGTTTAGTCTGTAGTTTGGATGATGGTTTCCGGATCCTCTTACCCTCAACTATAATGACAAAATATGGGATGAAAAATAATAATTATACGCGGGCTGAAATAATATACGGGAACAAAGATTGAATCAATTCCAACTGTAATGTAAAGTAAGTTTAATCTACCTAATTTTGGCAGATTTTCATGAACTATGTTGAGTGGTCAAAGTTCTCCAACGAATTAAAAATTACACCTCTAACTTTAATGATTAGGCTGCGAAGGAGTTTCAAAATATCAAAAGTAAATCGGAAAAGTGTTTTAAAATATCTTTATTTATATTTTTGACATTGACAATTATCAACATTTTTCAATGGCTTCTCAAATAGTTAAAATTTTAAATCTGTAGCCCAAACAACAACAAAACTATGGACTACTTTTGATAGGATTAAAACTTAAAGAACGTGACGAAAAATAAGTTATGTCAAAAAGGTCAATGTTTTAAAATGAACACTGTGAACCCCATCTAAAACTTACTTAATCGATGAATCAAATCGTAAAAGAAAAATAAGAAAACCATTCTCACCTAATAAATTAGGATCACTTGCGGGAGTTGGAAGGCTCCGCCTGCCCCCGACCATGCCGGGGTTTTCCTCTACCCAGCCATTTTCCTGCTGAAACCAAAAATACGCTTTGATGCTGAAGAAATTTGCGCAGAAATAAACATGGTTTACATTTTTGACTGATAAACATTTTCAGGTACATTTACGTCCCTATGAGGGAGTTAAAATTTAGATTTTAAACCAAATAAAAGAAAGCAAAGGAAAAGTATAAGTATAGCAATTTCCAAAAATTGCCTAATCTTACAGTTTAAAAATAAGCAAGTTATTAATATTAATTGACACATATAATTTTCTTTAAAATTTAAACATGATAAAATAAGATTTAGGACAACGCCGTGTTCAAAGTTACCGCCAATATCGCCGTAAACCGCCAATATGCCTTGTTATACTGTACGTTGCTATCACATGTCATAACTTGGGGAGTCCAAGTAAGACTCACCGGAGTTTGATTTACTTTCAAGTTGAAGGACAAACTTACTTCGGAGCAAGTGCTCATCTCCGAGCTCCCTGTCTTGTTCTCCTGGAGAAGCTCTGACTCCGGAGCGGATAAAGCTCCCGCCCCGGAGCTTCCAGAGCTTTCCGTGGAGAATTCAATCGTTTTCCTCCGCCACTCCGAACCAGAGTTCTGAAATAATACCGCAATAAAATAGGAATTTGTAAATACTTCACTGCATTGAGTATTTTGCCATGGAATCCAAAATTGTGTAAATTTTTTTTAAAAAAACTTGATTAAAGGTAAATGTTTATTTAAATAAAAGTTACAGTTCAATAATTTGACCCACCTGGAGCCGGGGTTAGTTATCTCCCTGGGGACTGGTTGACCAGGTCTCCCTTGATCTCCTAAGGGTCGGAGGGTTTCATCTTTCACAGCCTTGACAAGTTCTTGTTCCCTTAGATTCGCCCGAGTACGACGGAGCAACGAATCCGTGGCTTTAAAACGACATTTGGGCATGATAGAAATAAAGTTATCAGTATTTAATATTGGCGATATTGGCGGCGAGGGCGGCATTTCAATCGATATATCACACAGTCTAATATCTTTGGTATTGTAACCCCCAGACACGTCAATAGTAAGGGGTTCCATCCCCCGTAGAATAGGAGAGAGTTGTTCTTCCGGTAGCGGAGTTGGGGGAGCTGTTGATACATGTATCTCTCGTAGGTCCTGAGCACTTTGAGATAACTGTCCTGAGAAACTGTCTTCACTCTGGAGACTACTAACACGTCCTTTCCTCAGCCTATGTGGAAGCAGGACCTCCCTCCACCGACAAGATTTGCTCCGACCTCGGACAGATTTCCCCATCTGCTCCCTCATGGTCTGCCACTTCTCCCATAGCACCTGCTCCTCCTGCTCTGCCTTTAAATGACGGTCGCAGTACACCTGGAGTAAAATAGACCTTGTACATAAATGCTTCTAACCTTGTTTACAGAACAAGCTATCATGATAATTTTAAATCATATTTTTTGACCGGCAACAATTTTAAAAGAAATTTAAAGCACTTAAAAATTAGTATATCCATGCAAATTAGAATTAAAACGGAAAATGTAATTCAGAAGCAAATAATTTTTTTTAATACCAAGTTAAGTTTTTTTGTGAATTTAACCCCCAAAAAGTGGGAGGAATGAAGAATGGAAAATCAGACAAAAAATCATAGGGGCAAATAAGTTAGTCTGGAGTACTGTCAAGAAAGTATCTTGTAAAAATTAAAAAAAATGTGAAAAAGCGACAAATTAAGAAAATTGAGCAATTGAAGAGTTCTCAAGTGTCATTATATGAAAATTTCTTGATAGGTTTAAAGCTGCATGGCCATTAAAATATAAACTGTGTGTATTATGACCTTGTCGCTTGTATCCTCTATCTCCCCCTTCATCCTCCTCCAGTCCTGACCCTTCCCCCCCTCCTCCCTCCAGCTAGGGATCTGGATCTGAACCCGCGACCGATCTTCACTTATCCTCTCCTCCGCTGGTTCATCAACCCAAACCCGCTTCTCTCTATTCCGTATTGAATGTTCCGACTGTTTTTCTTTCTTGTGATCTCGTGCGCCTTTCTCTTTAATTTTCGACTTCTTTATCTCCTCACCGCCAATGATCGATGACGGCCGACGAAGTTGCAATGAACTCTTTGTATCTTGGTCTGTTCTAGACAATTTCTCAGTTGATCGAATTCTCTTTTCTGTTGTACGAAAGGCGGAGGTTCGGTTGGCTGATTGATTAATGGAAGGGTTGGCAGATTTGTTGGCTGATTGATAAAAAGAATGCTGTCTAGCTGATGGATGGACTGAGTGACAAGCCTGAAAATGTTTAGTTTCAGACCAGGATAAAACTAGATACCTCAGAACAAGAATGTATTACTTCAGTGCACCAAAATCGCATTTGTCACTTTTTAAAGAAATTAGGGGGGGGTGGGCATAACACGGTATTACTCTCCGGAAAATTTAAACAGTGTTTAAACATAACTTAGCATTGTTTTGCATGCGAGCTTAAAATTATGTATATTAAATGCTTTTATTGGATTTTAACGGAGCTGACCAAAAGTGCGCGCACTTTTTGTGAAAAAATACGACTTTTTTGACAGTGAATCAATCTTAACTTAATTAATTGCACTTAAACATTTATCATGATACTCTTGAAAAAAATATGCGCTTAAAATTCACCTCCAGAGCCTTAAATGTCCGCGCGCGCGCAATGAAAGAAAATATCTTTGAATACTTATTTGCTAAGTTTGGCCTAAGTCAGAATAAAAGTAGAATGACAAGGAATTCATTGCCGAGGTCAAAATATACTAACATTGGATCATTCTGACCGGCGCGCTACTAGCCGGCAGTTACATTATGGGTCAACTTAGCTCAAACTTTACATGTTGTATGTCGATATATAGGTAATTGGGCACCAGGAATTCATTTCTGAGGTCAACATAAATATTGGAGCATTCTGACCAGCGCGCTAGTACCCGGCAGTTCGGCAGTTACATCATGGGTCATCTTAGCACAGGTTTTACATGTTGTATGTCGATTTATAGGTAATTGGGCACCAGGAATTCATTTCTGGGGTCAAAATTAATATTAGAGCATTCTGACCAGCGCGCTAGTAGCTTGTAGTTTCATCATAGGTCATCTTAGCCTGTTGTATGTCGATTTATAGGTAATTGGGAACGAGGAATCTTTTCTAAGGTCAAAATAAATATGGGAGCATTCTGACCGGCGCGCTAGTAGCCAACCATTACATCATGGGTAATCTATTTTGACCTCGGAAATGTAATCCTTGTCCTAATTTTGCTTTAGTATGATGTATCTCATGGTAGTTTTATTCTAACCTAGCAAAACTTAGCAAATAAGTATAACAAGATATATTCTTTTATTGAGTACGCGCGGACATTTCAAGCTTTGGAGGTGAATTTTTTGAGCGTATATTTGTTTCAAGAGTATCAGGATAAATATTGAAGTGCAAGTAATGAGGTTAAGATTGATTAACTGTAAAATAAGTCGTATTTTTTCATGAAAAGCGCGCGCGCGTTTTTTTGCTCGGATCCGTTCAAAACCGAAAATGCATGTAATATACATAATCTTAAGTTCGCATGCAAAAAAGTCAGCCTCCTACAACATGGATAATCTGTGCAAAGATGACTCATAATGAAACTGCCGGTTACTAGCGCGCTGGTCAGAGTGCTCTAATATTTATTTTGACACCAGAAATGAATTCCTCGTACCCAATTACCTATGAATCGACATACAACGTGTAAAATATGTACTAAGATGACCCATGATGTAACTGCCGGCTACTAGCGCGCCGGTCAGAATGCTCCAATATTTATGTTGACCTCAGAAATTAATTCCTCGTGCCCAATTACTTAAAAATCGACATACAACATGTCAACTCTGTGCTAAGATGACCCATAATGTAACTGCCGGCTACTGGCGCGCCGGTCAGTAGGCTCCAATGTCTATTTTGACCTCGTAAATGAATTCCTTTTCCCAATTTGGCTATAGTTTGATGTATCTCATGTTACTTTTATTCTGACTTAGGCCAAACTTAGCACATAAGTATTCAAAGATATTTTCTTTTTTTGCGCGCGCTCGCGCGGACATTTAAGGCTTTGGAGGTGAATTTTTTAAGCGCATATTTTTTTTCAAGAGTGTCAAATCAGCCTCCTAGGACAATGCTACAGGACACTGTTTAAATTTCCCGGAGAGTAATACGTGTTATGCCGCCCCCTTTTAAACAATTAAGATTTGTTTGATGCAGGACCGAAAATAATTTTTTTCTACAAAAAATATTCTGAGAATGTAATAAAAAATAGAAAATGTTAAAGACAAATTCTATTGGAGAATAAGAAGTGATGTTGAGTACTAGCAAAGACAGTAATGAGAACTCAAGGATTCTCTGTAAATACTGGATTCCATGGCATGGAACAAGGCTCAACACTAACAATAAAACAATCAACACATATTCACGGTTCGAGTACATGGTTACGCACTAAGAATGAGACTTCAAAGTTCAAAGACGACAATTCAGACTTTATTCGTGGATTCGTGGTTTAATAGAGCTTTACGCCAGATCGGTGTATTTCTGATCACATCATTTATAAGATTATATACCGAAAACAAACAGTTTGATATTTTTAAAGTTCATTGTCATCATTTGAGTCTGGTTCTTGTTAGCACGTAATCTACGTAAACGAATGTGAAGTTCATGATTTGTTCTTCAATGTTAAATCCCATTTAAATGTAAAATATTCCGACCTTATTTGCATTTTGTTTTATAATTTCTCGATCTTTTCTATCCAACTTTACTCCTTTAGCCAGCCATAGCTCCTCCCTGAATAGAATAGACACTTAAAGAGACTGTACACGTAATTTCAAGTTAACCTTGGCCTCCATTTATAGAGTGGTATCTCCGATTCACAACAGTACCTTTTGAATTTTTATATTTTTACTAAGGATTGAGATATCATAGTTTTTATGTTAAAAATGGTGATTTTCAGTTGTTTGTTCTCTGAAAAAAAGACGCGCGCGTTTTTTTGCATCGGTAAAAATGTAGAAACTATATTTTATTTTATTATACTCAGAGAAAGATTACAGGATACCGCTGTGATTCGAACATTCCACTATGATAAACCTCGATATGATCTTGCAAAAAAAAAAAACTGGTCCAACGTAATCATTCACAGTTCAATCATGAAAATCTATGTTTCCTTTCCTACAAAATATTACAAAAAAAAAAATACTTTTTTCACTTGTAAAGATAAACAGCTAAGGATTTGAATTTTTGCCACAAACTAAAATTTTCTAATTTCTATATCGCTGCAACCGCTTAGTGTAAACCTTTGACATTTCAAACTTATTATTATTTGATTATTAGATTATTTGATCTAACAGAATTAATAGTTTGAAATATCTAAGGTTTGTGACCATGGGTTGCAAAGATATAGGGATAAGAATATTTGAGTTTGTGGCAAAAACTCAGTTCCTTTGTATAATTTTGCGGCTAGCACATTAAGCCAACTACGTTTCATGATTTCCCGAAGGTCTAATTTCCTCCCCGTCAGGTAGGTTTGGGATAATAATTAAAACTTTTGGTAATAATAATTTAATGGTTTATCAAAAATGATGTAACACTGAATTTAAACTTTAGTACCCGATTCATGAAAAAAAATATTCTACAAATTGAAATAAATCCAAATCCGAATTCATGACGAATGAATATTTTTCAAATTTTAATATTACAAATTTTTCTTCAAATGGAAAATTTCCAAAATTTCTCTTGGAGATTTTGGGACAAAAATGTTATTAGACTACTCGCGATTTTCAAGATATTAGGGAAACTTGAGGATACATAAAATTTTATCCAACTCGTCACACAGTGGCCAAATATTTGCGGCTCCTGCGGTCTGATAAAACATCAAATAAACAAAAATAATTATATTTTTATTTCTGCACTGTCTGTGTGATTAATATCTTGGCTAAAAATTTGAGGCAACTTTATAAAGTTTCTAATTTGAGCAAGAAAGGTTATATCTGCATTGTTTTTGCAATCATCCATTTTCCTGCGAAACAAAGTTATCTCAGCAGCCTAGATGCAGCTGTCTACCTATCTATCATGTTTTGCTTTAAACTTCACGCATTTATCTTTTTTACCCTATCTCTGCTGGGGCACTTGAAAACCAGGATACGCTTGAGGGGGGTCAATTTGACCCCCCTCTAAATCCCATGTTGGATGTCCAAATATGACAAATGATACATCATTGGAAAGCTCTTGTGCTCTACTTATAGAATCTGCAAAAAAATTCGCAAAATTCAGATATATAGTAAAAATGTTTGCAAAAAAAAAAAATTGTCCAAAAATTGAAAAATTATACATATTTGAAAAGCCCTTGACCATGTCATTTCAAATATGCAAAAAATTTTGCAAAATTTTAAATAACCTGATTTTTAATCAAGAAAAACTAAAAATGTGCAAATTTCCTTTGACAGGTTGTTTGCAAAAAATTAGCAATTTTTCGTAAAACTTGTGCAATTTGTTTCCTTATGTCAAAGGCTTTCCAAAAATCTAAATTTTATTAAAATCTGACGAGTGGGAGTGGGTCAAAACAAAGAAATAGTTTGTTACAGGAAAAAGCAGTCATTCAGGCAGTGTGACTGAGGACTCAGGCCTAAAGGGAGGGCTTTGGGTATGTAGGAAAAGTCAGAAACAGCCTTAGACCAATACTTTTAGAGTTATGTAAAAAAAAACTACAGGGGGGGGTCAAATTGAACCCCCCCCCCACAGCAGGAATAGGTTTTAAGTGGGCGATTACGTCTTTATTGCCATAATATATGTCAATCAATCAATCTTGCCAGAGTTGCTTAAAAATGTATTAGAATTTTAGAAATTAAATTTCAACTTAACATTTTTATTAAGGGTATTGATTCTTTGCTAGAAACTCTGATTTTCTAACCCCTATATCTTTGCAACCCAATGTCGCTGAGTTTAGATATTCTATACTTTGAATTATGTTCGATTAAAAAATCTTAGTGTTAAATAACAAAGGTTTACATTTTTTTGGTTTGTGACTTAGACTCAATACCTTAGACCATAGAAATTATCAACCCAAACATTTGAAAATATATTTATAAGAATTTAAACTGTGGGTCAGGGGTTTATATCATGTAAGTTCATTGTTTTTTTTAGTACCACTCCTCTAAATAATAAACTTTAAATGTTGGCCACTTGTATTCCTAAAATGACCTATTTCCTCTCTTTACCAATATAATGTCCATATTTTGAGTAAAGAGGACTATCGACTCCCAATTTAAAGGGTGACATTTCCATTTTCCAGTTTACAACCTTACCATAGATAAACCTTAATCATAGACACAATAAGGAATATACTGTTGGTTTTCTTGCATGAAATAAGTTCAAGCTGTGTACTACAGTGGGAGGAGATCAAAAACAAACAATCCAGGAGCAAATGGTTTCATGTGTGTGTGTTGGGGAGAGGGGGGGGGGAGGGATATATGTGAAGATCTGCGGCTAAAATTTTTGAAAAAATACACTTAAGACAGGACACACGGTATTACAAATAACAAACAAATGACTTTTTGATTTTTTCTGTCAACCTTTGGTCCTACTTTATTGGGTAAATGTACCTGAGAGTGTTTCCTTCCTCTTCTAATAGTTTAAAGGTCTGCTGAGCAACCTCAACAGCTTCCTCTGTAAATCCATTGAACCCAACCTAGAACATATGAATTGTAAAGATACGAATATATTTATATGTTTGTTTATATCCAATAAACACCAGACCGACTGGATTGATCAGATACATTTTTTGTATGACCAAGGGGAAGCTTTATGTCCGGTCGAAATTATTTTTTAAATGCTTCCGACACATTGATATTTAGCGTTTTGAAATCAACAATGATCAATTTTAAAAATCCGAAAATTACAAATTGTTATATTCTTAATTTTGAATTCGTAAAAAAATGATTGGGATTGAAGCAACACGCTAAAATGTTCATACTGAAGAGATGCGAAGCGCCCTGGAAACCAAGTACATCACAAATCTTTTTAGTGAAAGATACAAATTTAGTTCGAAAATAAATATCCGTCCGTACTAGGCAAAGATATGAAGTGATAATTCCATTAAAATGAATTATGGGCTGTCTGGTCAAGTGCCGATTTATCATAATCCTCCCCCCCCCCCTATCAATTTTTCATTCTTTGTCATTGACCCCTCGATCATTGATAATTCGTCGCTATTGTCGACAATCAACCTAACACGTGACCGGGGTGATTTCTTTGTTGGATAATTACCACAAAGACACCATATCTGGGTCCGCCCTAGTATACGATTTTCAGACCTCCCCCTCCTATCAATTTTGTATATGACCATTTATTTTTCATTTTTCAGCAAAAATATTATTTACTTATTACTATTTTGGGTTCAGTTAGGCTAAGAAAATTTCTGGGCCGAGCTCTGCCGGCTAGGACAGGATAGGGTGCCGAGCGCTGCAGCTAGGATAAAATAGGGGACCGAGCGCTGCGGCCACATGATCAATTATATCCACATGTTACATATGGGGCAAAATCGTTCTCTAGGAAATTACCAAGAATTGTGTATAAATAATCAATTAAGCCAAATATTAGGCTAGTTCAACTTTATATATCAAACCTTGTGTCATTGTTTTGAATAATTCAGTGGTATGGCAATACGACTTGAAAAATATTTTATACAATTTTTTGTGTTCATATCTACGTCAAGCGCTGTGATGACGCAATTACCCCCCCCCCCTCTCACCCATGATGTGCTTTAAATCAAGGCAAAACTTTACCTCTTCTTCATCTGAGTCCCCGACTAAATTATAAAAATCTGCAAGGAATCTTTCAGTCTTTTCCGCCACCAATAATTTGTCACTATTGAAATTAAGTTTCCTGGTGGAAATTCGAGGTTTTCTGATAGAAAACTTCCCAGGTTTTGCCGGGAAATGAAACCGCGCCATCTTGGCTCACAAAAGATTCACACACACACAAAGCTGGACTCTGAGGGAGAGCTCCCGCAATTTGACTGGGGACTGAACAGACTCATGCCAATACTCAACAATTTTGGGCTCTAAAACTACCTGAAAATAACCAACAAGAATTAAATAAAAAAGTTTTTGTTGAAAAAATAAATAAATAAAAAATATGAATTTTTTGCACAGAATATCGTTTTAATTATTTTTAAGTCATTCAGGAAGCCTAGGGCCCAAGAGTTTGGTTAAGCAAGCGAGCCTCGCAAACTTAAATCATGCAATTATGTGACACAAAAAACCCGCGAAGTTATGCATGGAGAGAGTCTTAAATAATTATACATAACCAACCTTTCCTCAAACCTCGCATATCGGTCTATTGCGGACTCAGTATGTCCTCCATTATTTAATGTGTATAACGAAATGATGGTTTAACTTTAATTCAAGACAACATTTTCAGTTTAATAAGGTATTCCCACGTATCACACGTATATATAACGTGTGATCGTACGTACAATTGTGCATTATTAGTATAGTAGTTTTATTATATTGAATTAAAATTTTATATTTTTGTCTAGCCAGAGCCCGCGATTTAAAAGCTTCGGCTCGAGTCTTAATTCCTTAAATGCAGCTTTAAGACCCAATCTTAGACCCAACTCTGACGACAGCTTGTGTCACGTGATTGACAGCTGCGAGATCTTAGGCTCGACTTAAGGAGTTAGGCCCAATGAAAATAAAACCGACCTTGGTTGGTTTTAGTGAAGAATAAGGCTCAATGTTGGGACTTATTCTCATCAAAACCCGGAATGCACCAATTCCTACAATGAAAATCCGCCAAATACAACATTAAACCGGTTTTATGTACTAAATTCTGTTTAAAAATAGATGCAACTTAAATTCAAAAACCCGAGCCGTAAATAAGGCTCAACAACAGCTTAGACCCGAGTCGTATTTTCTTGAATTTTTTAAATCGCCGGCTCAGTACATATATTATAGGATCTATAGGACAATCCATGGTGATCCTATTCCAGCTGGGGGGTCCCTATCTTGGACCCCCCCGGCCCCCTAAAATGATCATCTTAAAATTATATTGGTCTTCGAGGCTCGAAAAGCGGGGCATCAGGTCAGGTACATCACTATCAGGCGTCTCATGCGCGCATATCGAGGATTTTAGCCATGGGTGGGGGGCATAAGATTTCGCGCGACTTGCGAATTTTTTTTGCCCAAAGCCTTAAAAATGCTCTTTCTAAAATCTACTACATGTCCCATGTAACCTATGTAATTATAGTCCCGATTCAAAAGGACTATAAATGTATCCCATATGTATTGTTCTGTATTATACATTTGGCTGATCCATGGATCCCGTGGATCAGGCATAGATACTTTAAAGGTACACATTTTACCTTGCAATTGCATGTATACTAGAATATATTAATACTTCTCCTTCTAACAAAACTTGCAGAAAAACAGCATTATTTTTTTTTAAAATCGACATTTTATTTTATTTTATGTTTGTAATAATTATTATCAATACTGAGAAACGGAAATTTTTTTTAAGTGAAGCTCCTGACTTAAACTTAAATTCTGTGAGATTAAGTATGACTTGTAAAAGTTTCTTTTGTGAAATAAAGTAGGAGTAAAATTGTAATAAAATAATAAGTAAAATTGTATTAAAGCTCATCGTTCATTTATATGTTTGCTATGGCTTCTATGGCTGGCAAAACGGCTGAATCAAATGGGCGGAATTTTAGTGAGGAAACTCATGGGTACCCTTGGGGATGCCATAAGCTAAATAAATTATAAGTTTTTTGTTTTAATTCGATTTTTAAAATTCCACGGGCAACGCTGGCACTTCAGCTAGTTATAATAAAAAGAAAGGATAAACGGCGGTGCAAGGAATAAAGTAAATAAATTGAAATTAAAAAAATATATGGTCTTTTACTACCTTCAAACTCCAAGAATTGTTTTACTTCGCTGTCCGCGATAGCGCCCATCCGGGTGGGATGAATGTGCATTCTAAATAGATTTTTCATTCGGACTTCTGTCATGGTGGCTCGACTGGTCCACGTATACAATCTTTTTTATTTTTTTATGCTCTTAACTCTTAAGTTTAAGATTTGAAAAGTGTGAAAGCCCTGAGTTCTATGGGGGGGGGTAACTTCCCCCTTGCCCCCCCCCCCCCTGTATACGTCCTTGATTTAAAATTAAAGCTTTGAACTAAAGGAAGCAGATTGCAAACATTTTGCGAAGAAATTTTAAATAGATTTTGCACAGATGACATTCAAGAAAATTTTCACATTTTCAGTTTTCCTTAAATACAAATTTAGTTTATCAAAATTTAGAAAATATCTTTAAACATCTGAATTTGCCGTGTTAAGGGCTTTTCAAAAATGTAAAATTTATCAAATTTCGCTCCATTTTTGATTTTCACATTTTTGCTTAATAACTTGAAATTGCAATAAAAGTATGAAATTTTGCAAATTTGTAAATTTTTTGCAGATTATCAAAGTAGAGCCCAGGGGCTTTCCAAAATTGTATCAAATGTTATAGATTTGTATCACAGAAAGGATATAGTAAGGGGACAGACAGTTTTGGGTAAACCAGACGTCAGCCTGAATAGGGTTAACTGTAACATAGCTGTTGATAAAACCAGACGTCAGCCTGAATAGGGGTAACTGTAACATAGCTGTTGATAAAAGTTTTTTTTCTGTAACATCGTATTTAAGCTAAACTTACGAATGTTCATTACACTATACAAAATTTTCTATTTAATATCAAACTTAATTAATGCTTAAATTATTAAAAAAGTTATAAAAAAAATTGAGTCAGGGATTTTTTCAAAGTTATTAAAATAGGGGCAAGAGGGAGATTCTAAAGTATATTTTCAACTACGATATATTGAAGGTTTCGCTATTATAAAATTGCCAAATTTAGTTCTTTTCCACATTTATTTTAGGTGCTTGCATATTAAATTTCGAGAGGACAGGAGGACAGAGACACAGAAATTGTACAATGTAAACAGCCCATTTAACTTAATATCTCATTTGATAAGTTAGTGTTAAAACTATTTGCGTTGCAAAAACCTGAATTATACTATTATGTATTGATCGTCTTCCTATTCCACGGTCATAGCTTATCCTCCCCATTGTTTCCCAGCCCTCTTTTGTATCCTCAGCCTCAATCTTCACACTCTTTATTGAAATTCTCACCCACTGCCCCTATTTAATCCATCCTCAGCCTCAATCTTCACACTCTTTATTGAAATTCTCACCCACTGCATCTATTTAATCCATCCTCAGCTCAGCCTCAATCTTCACACTCTTTATTGAAATTCTCACCCACTACCCCTCTTTTATCCATCCTCAGCCTCAACCTTCACACTCTTTATTGAAATTCTCACCCGCTGCCCCTCTTTTATCCATCCTCAGCCTCAATCTTCACACTCTTTATTGAAATTCTCACCCACTGGCCCTCTTTTATCCTTACTTTCTGCCCCTTTAATTATCACCCACTGCCCCTATTTAATCCATTCTCAGCCTCAATCTTCACACTCTTTATTAAAATTCTCACCCACTGCCCCTCTTTTATCCATCCTCAGCCTCAACCTTCACGCTCTTTATTTAAATTCTCACCCACTGGCCCTCTTTTATCCATCCTCAGCCTCAACCTTCACACTTTTTATTGAAATTCTCACCCACTGCCCCTATTTAATCCATCCTCAGCCTCAATATTCCTTCACGCTCTTTATTTAAATTCTCACCCACTGGCCCTCTTTTATCCATCCTCAGCCTCAACCTTCACACTTTTTATTGAAATTCTCACCCACTGCCCCTATTTAATCCATCCTCAGCCTCAATATTCACACTCTTTATTGAAATTCTCACCCACTGCATCTATTTAATCCATCCTCAGCTCAGCCTCAATCTTCACACTCTTAATTGAAATTCTCACCCACTACTCCTCTTTTATCCATCATCAGCCTCAACCTTCACACTCTTTATTGAAATTTTCACCCACTGTACTCCTCTTATATCCATCCTCAGCCTCAATCTTCACACTCTTTATTGAAATTCTCACCCACTGGCCCTCTTTTATCCTTACTTTCTGCCCCTTTAATTATCTCTCTCTCACTCACGTTCCCGTCCCTTCAGCCATTTACCAGAAACATTTCTCAGTTCCACGGAGTACTCGGAGCAACTAGAACTCATAGACTCACGGAGTACTCGGAGCAACTAGAACTCATAGACTCACGGAGTACTCGGAGCAACTAGAACTCATAGACTCACGGAGTTAAAAACATTCAATAATCCAATTTCCAATTTAGGTCGTCATTCCTAACAAGGTAAATTAGAGGTCCTGCTTAAAAGTCTTATTTTCACTTAGTGTATGTGCATTTCTCGTATTTGCTGTTTTACATTTTTTTTGTTGCGCTTTGTATTCAAATATTTAAATAGTTAATGTCTCTCATTGATATTTAATGAGAGATCAAGTTATGACTGAAAATAATCGTACACAGACCGGATGTACTTCGTTATTGTTAGTTTTACGTTCAAAGGGCGTAATTATTTCAAACCATTTTTTTGTTAAACTATGCGTTCTAAGGATCTGAAATCGCGTCGAGTAAAAAACAACTAATTTATTTCAAAATTATTCCAGCCATAGAAACCTGGTATCAATTTTTATCCTTGAAAAACTGAAATCTGTTTTATCATGCAACTCTGTCTTATTTAAACTTTTATCCATCATTTCCAGCTAAATTATTTAATGAAAATTTAATTTTACTTGAAGTCTGAAACTACACAATATAAATATATATTAAAAAATCACCTTTCGTGACAGACCTGTGTTTTGTTTGTTTGTTCTATTATTTTGACAACAATCGTTAAACTAACCAAAATACTATCTTCTTAAAAAATCCCTGAACTATTCTGAAAATATTGTTAAAGACTATTCTGTGGCTGTAAACTTTTCTTTAACGTTTTAAGTATTTTATTCTTTAAGCCATCCTGAAACTATTCTTTAACCTATCTTGTAAAGTAAATTGTTTTAAAACTATCCTGTAAACTATTCTTTAAACTTTCCTGTGAACTATTCTTTGAAGTATCCTTTGAACTATTCTTCAAACTATCCTGTAACCTATTCTTTAAATTATCCTGTAAATTATTCTGTTAACTATTCTGTAAGTTATTCTTTAAACCATCTTGTAAATTATTCTTTAAAGTATCCTGTAAACTATCCTTATCCTGTAAATTATTTTTTTTAATTTTCTGTAAACTATTTTCTAAACTATTCTTTAGGCTATCTTGTAAACTATCCTGTAAACTATCCTGTATACTTTTCTTTGAACTATCCTGTAAACTATTTTTTAAACTATCCTGTAAACTATTCTTTAACCCATCCTGTAAACTATTCTTTAAAATATCCTGTAAACTATCCTTTTAACTATTTTGTAAACTATTCTATAAACTATCTTGTAAACTATTCTATAAACTATTCGGAAAACTATTTTTTAAACTTTCCTGTAAACTATTCTTTAAAGTATTCTTTGAACTATTTTATAAACTATCCTGTAAACTATTCTTTAAACTATATTGTAAACCATTCTTTGAAATATCCTGTAAACTATTCTTTAACGCGTCCTGTGCACTATCCTGTAAACTATTTTTTAAACTATCCTATAAACTATTCTTTAAGCCATCCTGTAAACTATTCTTTAAAGTATCCTGTAAACTATCCTTTTAACTATTTTGTTAACTATTCTATAAACTATCATGTAAACTATTTTTCAAACTATCCTGTAAACTATTCTTTAAACTATCCGATAAACTATTCTTTAAACTTTCCTTTAAACTATTCTTTAAAGTATCCTTTGAACTATTTTTTAAACTATCCTGTAAACTATTCTTGTAACTATCCTATAAACTATTCTTTAAGCCATCCTGTAAACTATTCTTTTAGGTATCCTGTAAGCTATTCTTTAAAGTATCCTGTAAACTATCCTGTAAACTATTCTTTGAACTATCCTGTAAACTATTTTTTTAGGTATCCTGTAAACTTTTCTTTAAACTATCCTGTAAACTATTCTTTAAACTATCCTCTAAACTATTCGTTAAAGTATCCTGACAACCATTCTTAAAAATGATCGATGTTTAAATCACGCAAATTTTTTTAATTTTTGGATTTTAATAATTTTTGTTACGTGCATAAGTAAAGATTTGGACTTTTATTGCATTATTTGGGGTTGAATGTAGAGATTTTGTGTAGTGTGTAGCGTGTGCCGTGTACACAGTTTCTCCTAAGATATAAAGGGTGAAAAAATAAGAATCTTTAGAGTTTAATGATGGTTTTGTTTAAAACGTACAAATCTCTTGGCTCAGTGTGACCACCGGATTATCACCAACAAGATAAGATTTTATTCACAAATAAACAAAAATATTCTTTTTTGTTAAATGGCCAGTGTTTAGTTTTAAAAATTTAGTTTCATTTTCTGACTGAACTATACAAAAAGTAAAAAATAAAAAAAGAACGGGAGGTTTGGGGAATCATGGGTCGGTATGTTGGTCAGTAGGGCTAGGCGGTATAAAAAAACAGATGAATTTTTATTTTTATAATGAACTTTATTTTGTTTGATCATTAATCAGGCCTAGTTATATTAACTATGGATTGATAAATAGGAGACGGGACAGTTTTATTGGATAAAAATAAACTTGAAGGTCACTTGGATGAAAACCCATTAAATTCAATTATTTACATTGTATGAATATTTTCTTTAACGAACACCTTATATTGGTTTTATTGCTTAGCACCTCCTGAGGACTGACGGAGTAACGTTCATATGGTATTATGCTGGACGGTCGAAGGGGGGATAAATATTATTTGTCAAAAATATTCTATTAAACTGGGACAATATTTAAAGGGACTGTACGCGTAATTTCTAGGGACCCACCCTGCAAAGATGACAATGTCCGGTTCACAACTGAACTCTTAAAATCTTTATCTGATCAAATTTTCTTTAGTAGAAATGCGCAAGTCACTTTTGAAAAGAACTAAAATTTAATCAGTTGCATTTAAGATAATTTCCTTTCCTGAGTCCGAATTTAATGAATTTTAAGAAATTTGAGTATTACTGTATTTTAACACTTCAATATAAAGAAGAGAAATTAAATTACCAATATTTTCCAGATTCAAAAACTCCATGTTTAACGTCTTCGAAATATATAAAATAACTGCACTCTTCAATTTATGGGTTACACGGTAATTTCAATATCAAACTTTTTTCATGGCAGCTAAACGTTTTTATTGATTAAAACTTAATTGGATTCAGTAAGCTCTGTTCACATTTCTTTTATTAATCAATTTTATTGAAATACAAAATATTTACTTTTTTAGTTATTCTATATCGACTTATCTCGAACAATCAATGTAATGTATTATTCAAGGGTGTTATTTTACAATCAACAAAGGTAAAAAAGTACATTTAACTACAAATATTGGGACAAATCATTTTTTTAAATTCTCCCCTCCCCCCCCCCATTCTCCTAATCTGTACAACACGAGTAAAAAGCATAAATCATTATCCAATATGGCTGCACTGCAGTGCATTGTTTTTATCATTAATATTCATTTTCTGGAAAACCTTAACCATAAATATTAGAATATATTTAGCTGACAAACTGGATTCTCAAACATTTTGCGACCATACAAAAGAATCTGTAGCCTTTTTTACATGCCTTTAAAATATTGACGATTTTATTCAATCTTAAAAATAAATAAAGTTTTTCTGAAAGGGTTCTCATTTCTTTAAAACGTGAATAGGTTATTTTAAAAGATAACTTTCTGTTCGTTTTTATAAAAATTATTATTTTTCCATGAAGTGTTTATTGAGGTTGGAAAAGTTACAGATAGATAAATATTCTGTAAAAGTTTGTAACTCCTATAGTACATAATACAATTATTATTTCCAGCATTAGGTTGGAGGCAGAAGTTAAACTTGATCCAAGGAGTAAAACCGCCTGAAATTATTTTAAAGGGACCTAGGGACGAAATTTAAACTGACCCTCAAATAAACACAAGGGAATTGAGTTTTTGCAACAAACTCATATTTTATAATCCCTTTATCTGTTCAACCTGATAGTGTAAATCTTTAATATTTCAAAGTTAGATAATTTGATCTAAAAGATTCATAGTTTGAAATATCTAAGATCTACGACATTGGATGGTAAAGATCTATTAGAAAATCAGAGTTTGGGGCAAAGACTCAATTCCTTTAAAAATCAACAATTTTTGGCTAGAAAAATAAAAATATGATTTTCCTAGATTAGATCCATTGAAATTACGTGATCAGTCCCTTTAAAGAGATGCCTACGGAATTTACACTGTCTGTTTTCTAATATTCATGATTTCCTGCAACTATAAACTTTTTTCTTTCTTTGCCAAACTATAAAATAAATCATTCCAGTCTTAATCTAAACTTGGGATCGTCATATTTAAAAAGTTTTATGTCGTTATAGTCTCATCCTTTGTGGGTAACCCTGTATGACATTTTATAAGAAACTACTGTTAAGAAATACCATCGTTACTACTAATCAAAACTTAAAGCAAAATCAACTGCACTAAACTGCCTAAATCGTAAATTATTCCATTTTATTATTGGAATCTTGAATTTATGAATACGCAAATAGATAATGGTTAATGATTTGAAAATATTACATAGTATTTTTTACAGGAGGGGTCACAAAAAAAGAAACACTTTTTTTGCTTTTTTACAGGAGGGGTCACAAAAAAAAGAAACACTTTTTTGCTTTTTTTACAGGAGGGGTCACAAAAAAAGGAAACACTTTTTTGCTTTTTTTACAGGAGGGGTCACAAAAAAGAAACACTTTTTTGCTTTTTTACAGGAGGGGTCACAAAAAAAGAAACACTTTTTTGTTTTTTACAGGAGGGGTCACAAAAAAAGAAACACTTTTTTGCTTTTTTTACAGGAGGGGTCACAAAAAAAGAAACACTTTTTTGCTTTTTTTTAAAGATTCATTGACTCTAGGACACACTAAGCACTTCAAGAAATCAATACAACTGCAATATTCTACAATTTAAAACAACAAATTGAAGGCTTAAGGTAACTTTTAACAATGTCGTTAGATGAAATTCAGTTTCTAAATTATGTGTTTTTTGATAAAACTATAAATTTATAATCCAATATTTGCGTTTTCTTTTCGTGAAAATCACAAAATTTTACATATTGAGATTATTAGGAATTTCTAAGATAAAATTTATGCTTCTAAAAATTAAAAAAATTATTTTTGTGAAAAAATTTATTAGAATATATTATTAATCATTTTTATAAACTAGCAAAGGTTTTTGTTTAATATTTGATAGAATTGATTTATAGTGTCGATCCATAACATGGTCGCAGGAAACCACTTTTTAAACTTTTAATTTCTTTTTGTCCTTAATTGAGGCCCATTGTTTGCTGCCGAACTGTTTTGTTCAAATCATGCAGGAGTAATCAAAAAGATTATTATTTATAGTTGTAGAATAAACACACATGCAAACAATGTTGATTGTTGAGTTTATTTAAAATTTCTAAATATACCATTGCTAAAATTACAATATATAAGTGTGACGGGTTAAAGGGACTGTATTGCTAAAATTACAATATATAAGTGTGACGGGTTAAAGGGACAGTATTGCTAAAATTACAATATATAAGTGTGACGGTTTAAAGGGACTGTATTGCTAAAATTACAATATATAAGTGAGGAGGGTTAAAGGGACTGTATTGCTAAAATTACAATATATAAGTGAGAAGGGTTAAAGGGACTGTATTGCTAAAATTATATAAGTGAGAAGAGTTAAAGGGACTGTATTGCTAAAATTACAATATATATGTGAGAAGAGTTAAAGGGACTGTAAACGTAATTTCACATGTCTCTTCATTGAAGGGGTAATAAATTACCTAATTAAGTATGAATAAGATATCCATGTTTTTGTAACTGTAAACTCATTATTTGTGATTACTCTACATGTCGTTTCCAGAAACATTGGAGAAATTACAGAATGAAAAACTTTTCAAGCTTGGAAAACCACGTTAATTTATTGATTAATTAATTAGTTAATTAATAAATTTATTGACTAAATTAAGGTCAATGATACCGCTGTGAATCGTGAATACTGCATGACCCTCGCTAAAAATAACATCGACTCCAGATTTCGATTAGTAAATTAGCTATTAAACTAATCCCCCCCCCCCTCTATAGCTTCTCAAAATTTTATATTTTCCATTAAACAGGTGAATATTGATTTAATAAAGGTTTCAAGGGTATCGCGGTGTGAATCGGCCATTGTCATCTTTGCATGGAAGGTCATTTAAAATTACTCCTACAGTTCCTTTCAACATGTGAATACTGCAAGAAACCAAATCAATGATACCCTTTGTTTTTACTCGATTTAACCAAGTTTCCCATTAAAAACTAATCTGAAGAGAAATTACGAGAAACAATTGGTTTTAACTAACTTTCAAGCTTCAGAGCAAATATCAGAGCATTAGAGAAAGTTTCCCTTTTCCATCATTGGATTAAAGGGATTTTTTTCCTTCATTGAGTTATAGTGATTTTTTCCTAAATTGGAGTAAAGGGTATTTTTCCTTCATTGGATTAAAGGAATTTTCCCTTCATTGAGTTAAAGGAATTTTTCCTTCATTGGATTAAAGGTATTTTTTTCCTTCATTGAGTTAAAGCGATTTTTTCCTAAATTGGAGTAAAGCGATTTTTTCCTTCATTGGATTAAAGGGATTTTTTCCTTCATTGAGTTAATGGGATTTTTCCTAAATTGGAATAAAGGGATTTTTCCCTTCATTGGATTAAAGGGTTTTTTCCTTCATTGGATTAAAGGGATTTTTTCCTTCATTGGATTAAAGGGATTGTTTAATTTCATTGGATTAAAGGGATTGTTTTCTTTTATTGGATTAAAGGGATTGTTTTCTTTTATTGGATTAAAGGAATTGTTTTCTTTCATTGGATTAAAGGGATTGTTTTCTTTCATTGGATTAAAGGGATTGTTTTTAATCATTGGATAAAAGGGATTGTTTTCTTTAATGGGAAGAAAGGGATTGTTTTCTTTCATTAGATTAAAGGGATTGTTTTTAATCATTGGATTAAAGGGATTGTTTTCTTTAATGGGATTAAAGGAATTGTTTTCTTTCATTGGATTAAAGGGATTGTTTTCTTTCATTGGATTAAAGGGATTGTTTTCCTTCATTGGATAAATTGATTGTTTTCTTTCATTGGATTAAAGGGATTGTTTTCTTTCATTGGATTAAAGGGATTGTTTTTCATCATTGGATTAAAGGGATTTTTTTCTTTCATTGGATTAAAGGGATTGTTTTTTTCATTTGACGTCTTAATTGACTTTTATAGTTAATTCATCAGGGGCACACACATGTATTTGTCCCCGAGGGGGGGGGGCTTAACCTTTTTCCACATTAAATGGAGCAGTTTTCAAAAGATCAGCCTTACTTCGGTCATTTAGACGTACAACACAATGATATTGTTTTTTCCACAGTGCGCCTCCAGTTTATTTCTGAATTTTAATATTCTACTGTATACTTATTATTTTTATCTGTTTCAGAGCTTTTGAATGTCCTTGCTCAAATGTGGACATTATGGTACCAAGACAGCAATTTCAAATTAAGGTTAGAATGTGTTTTTTTCTTGAAAATGAAATTTGTTTATGATATTATTCTAATTCATATTCCCTGGGTTCTTGCACTGACACAAAGTAAAAGTAATTTGAATAAAACTCTCTGGTTTCCTCTGTTATATAATTTTTATTCTTTTTCTCTATTTCATGATATATATGCATATAAATATTATATGATATATCTATCTGAGGGTGAGCATCAAGTGTTGTTATTTTTTAAGCAATAGTTACATGTTTGCACAATTCATTTACATCCAAAGTTCTTGAATATTTTAAAGAACAGAGCGAACTTAACTGAGATCAGAGGAGGGAACTCTTCCATTGTGGATATAGAGATGAACGCTTGATCTTGGTCTTTTGTAAATCTGCAGATTAATTTAATCTGTTTACGGTAAACAGTAAAATTGCTTGAAATTCAACCAATCAGAGTGTAGTATGCTGAAAACAAACAGCCAATCAGATTCAGAAGCCAATGAATTTTGCGGTTAACTAAAAAATGAGAATTTGTGGATATCCAAAATCAAGACTATATAAAGTAAAAGTAGATTGTCCAAACAATTCAAAAGTGCCCACCGTGGATATCGAGATCAAGCGATCAGAATAAGGGGTTGATAAAAGTAAAAAACTGTTTGCCAAAAGTCTTTTTTTTTAAATCGTTGCTTTAGTAAATACATCCGACGACTCTAGAGGAAAAGGATAAGGTCAATCTTCCAAAAAATCGATATTTTATTCCTGACATAGATCAATGAATAATTCAGTTTTTATGAAAAAAAAATTTGAAAACTAATCCGGATTCAGTTTTATTCAAGGATTATTTGAAAATTATACAATTCAGTTTTATTCAAGGATTATTTGAAAATTAAAGGAATTCAGTTTTATTAAAGAAATTATCTGAAAATTATACGAACGAACTCAGTTTTATTGAAGGGATTATTTGAAAATGAAACGAATTCAGTTTTATTAAAGGTATTATTTGAAAGTGATACAGATTCAGTTTTATTGAAAGGATTATTTGAAAATGATACAGATTCAGTTTTATTAAAGGTATTTTTGAAAATGATATGAATTTTTAAAGGTATTAAGATTAAGATTAGCAGTGTGTTTAATTGTAGGATTAGCAGTGAATTTAAGTGTAGGATTAGCAGTGTATTTAAGTGTAGGATTAGTAGTGTATTTAAGTGTAGGATTAACAGTGTATTTAAGTGTAGGATTAGCAGTGCATTTAAGCGTAGGATTAGCAGTGTATTTAATTATAGGATTATCAGTGCATTTAAGTGTAGGATGAGCAGTTTATTAAAGTGTAGGATTAGTAGTGTATTTAAGTGTAGGATTAGTAGTGTATTTAAGTGTAGGATTAGTAATGTATTTTAGTGTAGGATTTGTAGTGTATTTAAGTGTAGGATTAGCAGTGCATTTAAGCGTAGGATTAGCAGTGTATTTAATTATAGGATTATCAGTGCATTTAAGTGTAGGATGAGCAGTTTATTAAAGTGTAGGATTAGTAGTGTATTTAAGTGTAGGATTAGTTGTGTATTTAAGTGTAGGATTAGTAATGTATTTAAGTGTAGGATTATCAGTGTATTTAAGTGTAGGATTAGCAGTGTATTCAAGTGTAGGATTAGTAGTGTATTTAAGTGTAGGATTAGTAGTGTAGTGTATTTAAGTGTAGGATTAGCAGTGTATTTAAGTGTAGGATTATCAGTGTATTTAAGTGTAGGATTATCAGTGTATTCAAGTGTAGGATTAGTAGTGTATTTAAGTGTAGGATTAGCAGTGTAGTAGGATTAGTTATGTATTTAAGTGTAGGATTAGCAGTGTATTTAAGTGTAGGATTAGCACAATTTTACTATACAGATAAGCTATTTTTTTGAAATGTATGCACTATGCAAAAATACAATGGTTAGTGTGAGACGAAGTGTTTGTCACTCCTAGATGTATTTCATATTTCAAATTGGAACTTTTATTTTTCAGGAGGTAAACTCCGAACACTCCCTTTAAAGTTGGAAACCTGGACTTGACATTAAGTTTTATTACTACTCAGTTTCAACTCTCAAGAGACAGGAACTGACTCTTAAAAACTAAGTTTACACTCTACAGCTTGAACTGGGTGCTGCAGATATAATTGCTTAAAATATGATTTCTTGAAACGTAGTTTCTGGGGACTAATATTAGTATGTTTGTTAATAAACCTATGTTTCGGATAGGATTGGTCAAAATGCATGAAGATAATGCTATTAAAAAAAAGGGGAACGTTAACGTAGGCAAGACAGTATCAGGATGAATGTTAATGTTTAGGTTATAGGCAGGACAGTATCAATATGAATGTTAATGTTTAGGTATGGTAGGAAAGTATCAGGATGAATGTGAATGTTTAGGTAGGCAGGACAGTATCAGGATGAATGTGAATGTTTAGGTAGGCAGGACAGTATCAGGATGAATGTTAATGTTTAGGTAGGCAGGACAGTATCAGGATGAATGTTAATGCTTAGGTAGGCAGGACAGTATCAGGATGAATGTGAATGTTTAGGTAGGCAGGACAGTATCAGGGTGAATGTGAATGTTTAGGTAGGTAGGAAAGTATCAGGGTGAATGTGAATGTTTAGGTAGGCAGGACAGTATCAGGATGAATGTGAATGTTTAGGTAGGCAGGACAGTATTAGGATGAATGTTAATGCTTAGGTAGGCAGGACAGTATCAGGATGAATGTGAATATTTAGGTAGGCAGGACAGTATCAGGATGAATGTGAATGTTTAGGTAGTCAGGACAGTATCAGAATGAATGTGAATGTTTATGTATGGTAGGGCAGTATCAGGATGAATGTGAATGTTTAGGTAGGCAGGACAGTATCAAGATGAATGTTAATGTTTAGGTAGGCAGGACAGTATCAGGGTGAATGTGAATGTTTAGGTATGGTAGGACAGTATCAGGATGAATGTGAATGTTTAGGTAGGTAGAACCTTACTAGGATGAATGTTAATGTTTAGGTAGGTAGGACAGTATCAGTATGAATGTTGATGTTTAGGTAGGCAGGACAGTATCAGGATGAATGTTAATGTTAGGTAGGTAGAACCTTACTAGGATGAATGTTAATGTTTAGGTAGGTAGGACAGTATCAGTATGAATGTTGATGTTTAGGTAGGCAGGACAGTATCAGGATGAATGTTAATGTTTAGGTAGGCAGGACAGTATCAGGATGAATGTTAATGTGCAGGTAGGTAGGACAGTATCAGGATGACATGTTAATGTTTAGGTAGGCAGGACAGTATCAGGATGAATGTTAATGTTTAGGTAGGCAGGACAGTATCAAGATGAAACGCCTTCTCTCCCTATGTCTCCTTATCCTAAAGGTAAAAAATGCATTATACCTATAAGAAACAGTGGAACCATATTCATTGCTAGGGGTTTAGATGCAACCAGTTTAACCATTTGTTTAAAAATTTACTTTTGAAGTGAAATTGCTGTGGTGCACTGCACAACTGGTGTGTTTTATGTTTTTTAACTATCCAAAATCATAACTTAAGCCTAAAAGTAGTTGTATATCATTATATATATATATACATGATGTCACATAATCTGTATTTTTATTGATACAGTTTTGTTGAAAATGTGTACTTTATGTTACTGGTAATGTATACTCTAAAAGTTTGCCGTGCAAACATTGAAAAATATATATAAGAAAAGTAGTTGTATATCATTATATATATATATATACATGATGTCACATAATCTGTATTTTTATTGATACAGTTTTGTTCAAAATTCAAACAAAGGTGTTTTCCGGTTTTCTTGCGACGGAGTTTCCGATAAAAAAGGGATTTTTAGTTATTGTGAATCAAAGGCTTACACAAGCCTAGTTTTTATGCTTGTATAAGCCTTAGGTTCACACTAAGTTAAAATGATTTTAACTCTTCAATATTACTTCTTCTGATAGTTTTCCTTTTTAATTTTGTATTTTTATCAGTAATTTTATTAAACTTTAATCAAACATTTATTGTGGATAGACATCCTGAAATGCTAACCAGCAGAGAGAAAAAGAAATCAAAATTTATCAGCATTTTTTTTTTAAATTGTCTTTATGATTTATTTTTAAAAAATTATTAAAAATCAGCTTACAAGATATCAGTAAAATGGAGGGACGTTTATTTAGAATGTTAAAAAGCAAGGAAATATAAATTTCCCCTGAAGGGGGGGGGGGGGTAAATAGTTCATAATTCACCCCTCTCCCGCGAAATAGGAGCGTATTTGTCTTTCAACTTAGAATATCTGTTTTTTGCAGAATATGTTCATTGATATTGATTATTGATGGAGAAATTATTTCTTAGAAATTTGCAAATATTTTACTAAATACAAAGTTTGATAGAGCGTGAGATGTAAATATGAAAAATTTATTAGAAATCTATATTTTAATATTGTGTGCGCTGTATTTGCAAATTTCCCCAGTCTAATAGCGTAATGTCTCCTAGGTATTATAAAGATTTTAAGTGAAAAGCATATTTTGCGCTTTTTGGAAAAAAGTCTTTCCGTGACACGGACTGGTACTCAGGGGCGGATACAGTATTTAAGTGAGGGGGGGCAAGATTTTTTAGGAAGCAAAAAATGAATAATTCTGAAGCAAAAATCGTGCGGCAGGCAAAATTTTTTTTTGACTTAAAAGACCCAAAAAGAGTCAAAATTAATGACTTAAGACTAAAAAACTAGATTTTTAAATTTTAGGAACAAAATTAAAGGATTAGAACAGGAATTTAGGAACAATTAAAAGATTGTTCAGGAATTAGGAACAAAAATAAAGGATTAGGACAAGAATTTAGGAACAATTAAAAGATTGTTCAGGAATTAGGAACAAACATATAGGATTAGGACAGGGATTTAAGGTGGGTCGGACACAGTATTAGGAACTGGAACAATAATAGGAACATTAGCAATTTAAGAACAAAAAGAAATTACTAGTTATACTTAAATGCATGAAAATTAGGAACAATAATACAATTTTGATAAATGAGTATTGATTAAGGAACATTACTAGATATGAACAATATTATAACATAAGTCTAGTTTCTTACAAATTTCTAATTCTAAATTTATCGTTAACAATAACATTTATCAAATTGGTAACATTTTTTGCCTCGAAATCTCAGGGGGGGGGGGCGAATGTCCCCCGCCCCCCCTGTATCCGCCCCTGCTGCAGTACTGTGATACATGATCCAGAAATTTCCTATCATCCGCGAAAATTCTTGTTTCATGTGCGCATCAATTCTAGAACTTTTGCCCAGAGTTTCTCATTTAATCTTATCCTCCAATTGTTCCAGAAAAAGGTTTCTAAATTTTCCAGCTGACGAGAAAAAAGAATATGAAATAAATAGTGGTCCGTCCGTGAACCAGTATTGCCACAAAATATTTTAAAATAAATATAAAAAAACACCTGTAATTATATTTTCAAATAAATATAAAAAACACCTGTAATTATATTTTAAAATAAATATAAAAAACACCTGTAATTATATTTTAAAATAAATATAAAAAACACCTATGATTGTCTCAAACGAAACTATATCTATAGGATGGCATGTCTGATTTAAAATTTAAAAGCATATGTCGTTTCTGCATTTACAGAAACGACGTGGTTTGATTTTCAGAATTAAATACTTTTCAAGCTTTAAAAAGCGACGGTATCATCCATATTATTGATCAAATTATCGTGCACTTATTAAAATATAACAAGGACAGTGTCCGAATTTAATGAATTTAAGCTGCGTCTTAAATTCCCTAAAGACCGGTTTCAATTGAGCGCCGGCTTAAATCTTGAAGAATTTAATACAATTTTATTATTTTAAGTGTAACCAACCATATTTGAGCCGCGGCTTAAATTTAAGCGGCGGCTTAAATTCTTTAAATTCGGCCTCAGTTCCTTTAAGTTAAGGTTTACTGTCACATGAATTTAAAAACCTGAATATTAAATTTCTCTGAACCAATGCATGAATGTCTTTTTTATTTTTTTGACAAAAACCTGGATTTGCCTGTTTTGTATATTATGATTGTTAAAAGTTGATAGAATTATTTAATTTTCAACTTTGAATCTAGAGCAAAAAAAAAGTAATTCAATTGATATTTTCTTTGGTTTCTGCATCATTTATTATTAATTAAAGTGAAAACAATAACTGATATATAGATAATTGATAATAAATTTAGTTAATTTTAATTTTTTAACTTTTTAAGTAAATTTTTTTAAAAACATGATTGATTTGTTGTTGTTTACAGGACAAACTCCAGAAATACAAACTGTGAGAAGACCATCTCCGGAATTTCTTAGGAGTTTGTATTTTCTGGAGTTTGTATCTCCTCAGTTTGTATTTTCTGGAGTTTGTATCTCCTCAGTTTGTTTTTTCTGGAGTTTGTATCTCCTCAGTTTATTTTTTCTGGAGTTTGTATCTCCTCAGTGTGTATTTTCTGGAGTTTGTGTCTCCTCAGTTTGTATTTTCTGGAGTTTGTATCTCCTCAGTTTGTTTTTTCTGGAGTTTGTATCTCCTCTGCAGTTTATATTTTCTGGAGTTTGTATTTCCTCAGTTTGTATTTTCTGGAGTTTGTGTCTCCTCAGTTTGTATTTTCTGGAGTTTGTGTCTTCTCAGTTTGTATTTTCTGGAGTTTGTATCTCCTCAGTTTGTTTTTTTCTGGAGTTTGTATCTCCTCAGTTTTATATTTTCTGGAGTTTGTATCTCCTCAGTTTATATTTTCTGGAGTTTGTATCTCCTCAGTTTGTATTTTCTGGAGTTTGTATCTCCTCAGTTTGTATTTTCTGGAGTTTGTATCTCCTCAGTTTTTTTTTCTGGAGTTTGTATCTCCTCTGCAGTTTATATTTTCTGGAGTTTGTATTTTCTGGAGTTTGTGTCTCCTCAGTTTGTATTTTCTGGAGTTTGTATCTCCTCAGTTTTTTTTTCTGGAGTTTGTATCTCCTCTGCAGTTTATATTTTCTGGAGTTTGTATCTCCTCAGTTTGTATTTTCTGGAGTTTGTGTCTCCTAAGTTTGTATTTTCTGGAGTTTGTATCTTCTCAGTTTGTATTTTTTGAAGAGTTTATCTCATCAGTTTGTATTTTCTGGAGTTTGTATCTCATCAGTTTGTATTTTCTGAAGGGTTTATCTCATCAGTTTGTATTTCAGGAGTTTGTATCTCCATAGTTTGTATTTCAGAAGTTTTGTATTTCCGAAGTTTAAGTTTGTCCTGTCGACTAATTGATAAATCCTAAACAATGGCTACCAAATTTTCAAATCCTTACATCTTTATCTAAAACTTAGATTATTTAATCTAACAGAATTCAACGTTAGAAATATCTATGGACATATCTAAGGTCTACAACATGGGGTTGCACAGATTAAGAGATTAGAAAATCAGAGTTTGTGTCAAATACTAATTCTTTTGTTTGATTTTAGTTTGGTTTGGGTCGAGGTCGGATGGATACTAATGAGGATATGTTGTGCAAGGAGAACGGAGAAATAAATACTCATATTTGTTTACCAAGGTTAGAATTCAGGGCAGTTTATATTTTTAAGTAATAAAAAATATTTTGATTTTAGAATCTAATTACTTACGAAATGTATATATTGTATACAATTTTAAAAATGTTTTCTTTGAAACTTAAACGAATAAATTTTATCGATTTCATTTTTTAAAAATATAGTTTTAAACTTACCAAAAAAATATATATTATTTCAGATTTCAAAAATTTGATTTTTCTAATGTACATATTATATATTGAAACCAGAAATATGTAAAAATAGTTCAATACTTTTTTATGTTTCTAATTTGATTTCTCCTTTTTCGAATTTTTGGAGTTTATTGCAAATATGGTAAGTGCGACCCTTCTGTTTTATTTATTGTTCAATAATTTCATGAGTTAGAAACTAAACAGTTTTAAAGTTTAGACAGTTCATGACCTCCAGTATGTTTTCTATATAAACGATACAAAGTTTTAACATTAATATAAAACTCTTGATTTAAAAAAAAACTTGGCTGCATTTCTTGCTTAGGAATAAGACTTAAAAACTGAACAGTCGTTTACATCCTTTTGCAGAATTCATCTCTAAAAAAAGTTCGAACAAATCCTGAAAAATTTCCCATGCCTTGCTGACATTTTTGATTTTTCGAAGGTTTCAAAAAAATGTTTTAAACTTTCATATTTTTAGAGAATACAACTTTAATTTCCAATACATTGTAATATTTCATATTTCTAGAGGATACAACAAGTCTGATTTACCATACATTCTAATATTTCATATTTCTAGAGGATACAACAAGTTTAATTTCCAGTACATTGTAATATTTCATATTTCTAGAGGATACAACAAGTATGATTTACCGTACATTTTAATATTTCATATTTCTAAAGGATACAACAAGTTTGATTTACCGTACATTTTAATCTTTCATATTTCTAGAGGATACAACAAGTCTGATTTACCGTACATTCTAATCTTTCATATTTCTAGAGGATACAACAAGTCTGATTTACCGTACATTTTAATCTTTCATATTTCTAGAGGATGCAACAAGTCTGATTTACCGTACATTTTAATATATGATATTTTTCTAGGGGATACAACAAGTCTGATTTACCGTACATTTTAATATATTATAGAGGACGTGAGTCAGACTCTATTAAAAACGCATAAATAACTTCCAGTATATATATTTCTTATAACTTATTACTAGAGGGTTCAGAACTAGAGTCAATATCGATATCACACGTGTAGATGTTTTATCAGTACTATGCCCCATATCCGTTCTATCTCATTCTGTTGAATCTTGTGGAACTTGTTTAACGCGGCCAGGCATCGTCTTCCACAATATCATATTTTTCTAGAGGATACAACAATTATGATTTACTGTACATTCTAATCTTTCATATTTCTAGAAGATACAACAACTTTAATTTCCAGTACATTGTAATATTTCATATTTCTAGAGGATACAACAAGTCTGATTTACCGTACATTCTAATATTTCATATTTCCAGAGGATACAACAAGTTTGATTTACCGTGCATTTTAATATTTCAGTTTTCTAGAGGATACAACAACTTTAATTTCCAGTACATTGTAATATTTCATATTTCTAGAGGAAACTACAAGTATGATTTACCGTACATTTTAATATTTCATATTTCTAATAGATACAACAACTTTAATTTCCCGTACATTGTAATATTTCATATTTCTAGAGGATACAACAAGTATGATTTTCCGTACATTTTAATTTTTCATATTTCTAGAGGATACAACAATTATGATTTACCGTACATTTTAATCTTTCATATTTCTAAAGGATACAACAAGTTTGATTTACCGTTCATTTTAATATTTCATATTTCTAGAGGATACAACAACTTTAATTTCCCGTACATTTTAATATTTCATATTTCTAGAGGATACAACAACTTTATTTTCCAGTACATTGTAATATTTCATATTTCTAGAGGATACAACAAGTATTATTTACCGTACATTTTAATATTTCATATTTCTAGAGGATACAACAAGTTTGATTTACCGTACAACAACCAAGTCAATGTAATTGACATAGGAATTGATATAACTGATGTTCTACGAATAAATGACAAGGTAAGGTTTTGAAACAAGATTGAATCCCTATATACAGGGTTAACCACAAAGGATGAGACTTCGGAGATGATTGTACGGAATTTCTACTGTCCTTTCCCTTATATTCGAGATTCCCTGTGACTGTAAACTTGATTCTCTCTTAGAAAAAATAAAAAAAAGGCCATTAAAAAACTACATTTAAGACAGAAGACTTTATTTCACCTTACAATCGTCATTTTATGGGTAACCCTGTCCGTTCCGGGTCTGAAACTTAATATAGGGTATCACTATGAATAGTATCGGAAAGTTGGAACAGAATTTTATGAATTTGAATCATTTAAAATTTGAATAACCGATTCAAATCCTTCCTTAACTCTTAACTTGATGGTTCAAGATTAACGGTATCCACGATCTGAGCTCATAACATTGCATGATATCTTTATCTACAATAAATAAGATAAAAGGATTAAATTAACATATTTTTTAAATGTCAAGGTCTGAAAAAGAATTTAAACATGCGGAAAACATGATTCTGTTAATACTATAGATATTTTATTTTTGCTGAAATATGTTCAATAACATTTACAAAACTTACGAAGCTTTAAATGAACAATTTCGAAAAATGCAATGTATGATGTGAAATAAGGCATTAAACTATTTTTTTATTTTAGTTTAAAATCTTCCATGATAAGGAAAAAGTCATTAAATAAGACTAAACTAGTTTGCTTATATTCCCACTTGGTTGTATGTATATAGGAGAAAAACTAGAGAAGTTAGGAGGGCGGGAAGTCATACGAGTAATTCCACATAAAATGAGTTGTTGCTAATACTGAGATTGAAGCGACTATAGACAGAAAGCTTTTTATAAAAGAAATTGTGTTTTTGCCACAAACTCAAATTTTCTAATCCCTATTTTTTTGCAACCTAATGGCTTAAACTTTTGATATTTAAAACTTAAATTATTTGATTTATCAGAATTCATAGCTTAGTAGTAAAGATATTTGAAAATTAGCGTTTGATAGCAAAGACTCAATTTCTTTTTCGGGGAACCTAATTCACTTAATTAGTGTTTACTTTAATCTTGTATGGACAAAATGAAAGTTCGATGCACTGTACCCCGGACTAACTGCAGGGCAAAATGCATTCGATTTCTTTATTTGAATTAAATCTCGTGCTGATTCATAATTTAATATTCGCTCAAATAAGTATAAAAAAGGCGAACAAATTATGTTTAATGGATTAATGGATAAGTACAGTTAAATCCACGTGACTGTGCAATCGGTAACAGCACTTAAATTTTCAAGTTAACTGTTTTGGAGATAACGGATTTCTCCGCGTGGCTTGGGTTAAATATAGAAACCAAACATAAACAAGAAAACCCGTTAAACATCAAAAAATGGGGGGGGGGAGGCAAATGGGGTTGATTGCGAACGAAGGGTGATAATAATGACAAACAAAATGCTATTTACAGTCGCAGGAAAGATCAAAACATCATTTTCCTGCTACAGTAGTTTATAGTTTGAAATAATTAAGGTCTACGACATTATGGGTTGCGGAGATACAGAGATTAGAAAATCTGATTTTGTGGCAAAGACTCAATTTCTTTCTCTTTTTTTCCGTAGCTCCCCCCAATGCATTAATACTGAAGAGGGCAGTTCTAACTTTCGAACACTCCAAAATATTAGTCTTTGTATAGTGTAAGGTTCACGTATATCCCTGTAAACAACAATGAAATTAGTCAATTACCTGTGTGACCAGAGCTAGAGATCAGAACTCGTATTGTGACCAGAGCTAGAGATCAGAACTTGTATTGTGACCAGAGCTAGATATCAGAACTCGTATTGTGACCAGAGCTAGAGATCAGAACTTGTATTGTGACCAGAGCTAGATATCAGAACTTGATTGTGCATCTTGGGATCAGTCTTCTTTTTCAAGTTTTCATAAATGCAAACCACTTTTTTATAGCTTTTTTTAAAATAAGAAATTGGCATGATTTTTATTAATTTTACCATCGGAATATGCGTCTTACAGTTTTTACTTCATTTCATGATTCTTAAAACCACCATTATTGGTATCTATTCAGTTGAAAAAAGTCTGAGAATGGTCTGAATTTTAAATTGTTTGTTCGAAATTGGAAAACCGATTATGCACTTGAATTGGATTAAGTTTAGAAGAATTTCTATCTAAAATAAAGGACCGGGATTTGCATTCATTGAAAAAAATTTTTAATTTTAAGTGTAGCATCGAATGAAATGGAATCTTTGATTCTGCTAACTTTCATGGGCGGTAAGAAAAAGTCCTAGAAACTCATTTTTTACTCAAAATTTATCATCAATAAAACGAAGAGGTATTTTAAGTTTGCTTTTAATCATATATGGTATGAAATTAATATTCCTAATAACAACACTAATTTATTTCTTATTAGATCTCACTAGTTTCAAGTTAGTATCCCTGATACACTTCTCTGTAATCCTTGATATGCATCCCTGATACACTTCTCTGTAATCCTTGACATGTATCCCTGATATAATTCTCTGTAATCCTTGATATGTATCCCTGATATAATTCTCTGTAATCCTTGACATGTATCCCTGATATAATTCTCTGTAATCCTTGATATGTATCCCTGATATAATTCTCTGTAATCCTTGACATGTATCCCTGATACACTTCTCTGTAATCCTTGACATGTATCCCTGATACACTTCTCTGTAATCCATGACATGTATCCCTGATAAAACTCTCTGTAATCTTTAACATGCATCCTTGATACACTTATCTTTAATCTTCTATTTCAATTGTGAAGATTTTCTCTTTGTACACATTGTATGTAAAACAATAACAAAAAAGTTCGCGGATTTTAAAGAAAAATCCTCGTGGATTTTCAAAATTTAATGAAAATCGAGTTTTGCTGGAGGCTAATATATGAAATTTTGATCAACCACAAAATATTTGGGCCCGATCAGGTTCAGCGGTTTCGACGTTTATTGGATACAAACACCCAGACAAGCGAAGATACTCGGGAGAAAATTAAATGAATTTTAACATCTATTTGACTGTACTGGCAAACAAAAATTCTATGTAATATTACTGTTTTTGATAATAAAATATTTTTGTATTGATGAATTTCATTGAATATTAAGTCGTAAAAAAGAAAAAAGGAAGTTTGAAAACAAAGCTTGAAATTCTCACCTTCCATGGTGAGCATGAAGGAGAACCCCTGAAAAGAATGAAGATTGCTTGAGGGGGTGGGGGAGGTTATATACATGTTTTAGGGTGGGAGGTTGTAAACATGTTTTAGAGATCAGAACTCGTATTGTGACCAGAGCTAGAGATCAGAACTCGTATTGTGACCAGAGCTAGATATCAGAACTCGTATTGTGACCAGAGCTAGAGATCAGAACTTGTATTGTGACCAGAGCTAGATATCAGAACTTGATTGTGCATCTTGGGATCAGTCTTCTTTTTCAAGTTTTCATAAATGCAAACCACTTTTTTATAGCTTTTTTTAAAATAAGAAATTGGCATGATTTTTATTAATTTTACCATCGGAATATGCGTCTTACAGTTTTTACTTCATTTCATGATTCTTAAAACCACCATTATTGGTATCTATTCAGTTGAAAAAAGTCTGAGAATGGTCTGAATTTTAAATTGTTTGTTCGAAATTGGAAAACCGATTATGCACTTGAATTGGATTAAGTTTAGAAGAATTTCTATCTAAAATAAAGGACCGGGATTTGCATTCATTGAAAAAAATTTTTAATTTTAAGTGTAGCATCGAATGAAATGGAATCTTTGATTCTGCTAACTTTCATGGGCGGTAAGAAAAAGTCCTAGAAACTCATTTTTTACTCAAAATTTATCATCAATAAAACGAAGAGGTATTTTAAGTTTGCTTTTAATCATATATGGTATGAAATTAATATTCCTAATAACAACACTAATTTNTTCCGGGGGGGGGGGGCATCCCCCAGTTTTCTAAGGAGGGGGACATCCCCCCTTTCCCCCCACAAGCCGCCCCTGAAACCATATTCCTCGCCCATTTCCTTCATTGTCCTGAAGAGTTTATACCCTCATAATTTTTCCAGGATTGTCAAACTATCTTTTGACATTTTATGTAATGGGTTAATATTTTCTGATAGGGGCGTGCAATATTATGAAAGATAAAAACGATTATGTTAAAGGGACTCTAAGTTTAATTTCAAGTGACCCTCCATGGAAAGAGGGAATGCAAAAAGTTACAACTGTTCCCTTTAAACCTTTGACTGATTAGAGTTGGAAAGACAACTTCATGAGTTTTAACTTAAAAACAGAGTTCAAATATAGATTAGGATACCTTAATCTTCCTTGGTCAGTCGACGGTTTAAAGGGCATTGTTGTGAATTGGACACGCCCCTCTACAAATTGGATCACTTAAAATTACGTTGGCAGTCCCTTTAATTTTTTTTTATCTCCTGGTTGGAACAAACAGATTAAACGTAATAAGTCAACTTGTGTGCAGAGGGAAATGGATTATTGAATTATATATTATATATTATCTTTAATTGGCAAAGTTCTATGAAAATGTAAACTCTATGAAATTTTATTTGGGTAAAATTAAAGGGAATGTTCTGTAGATTTTATCAAGTGTATACAAAGTTGTAACTTTCTAGGAATGCTATTTGAAGTTTAATTTAATAGAGAATTATTTTTGTTTAGTTTTGCATACTTTTGAGGCATAAAGGACTTTTATATGGGATGGAAATTCTCCAAAGAAATCTAAATCTCTTCAAAGCTATGAAAATAACGAATTCGATTTTTAGACTTGGCCTTATTGGTTTGGCCTTACCAACCTATACTTTTAATAGCCTTGGACGTACATAAATCAAAATACTGCTGACCGTTTTCTATTAACCAAAATTCAGCAAAGATTTTTGCAATGTGAAAAGTTCATAGTGTTAGAAAACGATACTCTGTATTTATTTGGCAACACTTCGACATTTTATTTATCTCACTCTGAAAATATTGGAGGTCTCTTA